TTTCTTGATATTTACCTTGTGTAAACAACCATGCAACGAAGGCACCACATTATTTGATTTTATCCAGAACACGGCTCAAATACATTTTATAATGGTTCAAGCAGCTAAACGAATTCTCGCACAAGATCCTACTTATCTTTCATAAGCCCACATTAAAGAAGCTCGACTTCATTGTTTACATGAGCTGCAATAATTTTACGTAGAGCCAATTCACGCGTCAACATACACCAAAGTAGAATTCCACCTCAAGGCCACGTTTTATACAATCTTCTTGGCTTGGGTATCTAGTGCGAACAAAATTACAAGCATTTTAATTACAGTCGCTGCGATGAACCCTTGATGTCTTTTTTCAAGCCAGATTGGACCAATTAAAACAACTGACATGTTAGACTATACACGAACACAGTCAATACAAACACAAAATTGCACCTTTTTCCGTAAGTCCGTTTGTGGACATTGAGAATGTATTTTTATGAATGTTTGATTCAAGTGGTGATTGAATGTTCCAAGTTGCTTGATACCAGCATCAGCTGTCATATTAACACATGCGCCATTAAAACAACCATGCTGTAGCTTCTAGTGAATCCGGGAATAATAGACCGTTGCTCCAGGCACGTTGCGATTGTGCCGTTCGTCAAGGCATTGTCGCTAGTGGTAAGAAATAATTGGTACAAAAGGTCGAAATCCTACAACACATTAAACAGCTGATGTTCAAGGTTCTGTCTGCAGTAATCTCCTACTATCTCCACTGCAGCAACAACCAGATTCTAAAGCTTTCAATTGTCTTCGATACATGAGCGTTTGCTCCCATAATAAACGATAATTCGGAGAATTACAGAAACCAAAAGTGAGATTCACTTCGGTGTTCAGGCTAATAAATAAATCTTCGGCTGTTTACATCATGCAAATAGAGACGCTCGCAACAATTTTGGCCGCAAAATTTGAGCTTACATGTACTTCGGTAAAAAAAAACATCCAGTAAATAATGTCCCATAACATCTGCGGATGTCAACAAACAGATCGTCGCAGGATTGCAAAGCTCGAGAATACTACGCAGCTGCTTATATTCCACAACCGTATAAGACAGTAATGCTCCATATTTTAAGCAACGCCTTCATCAATGTCTGCTTGTTTAGTTGAGGTTTAAGTTATGTGTTATCATGGCAATGCCATATTGAACTTCAGTACATTTATCTATGCGATGCACACACCTTCAGATTGCCTGATTCTAAATCTGCACGCATTGCACCTTGTTCAGATAGCTTATCATGTACGTGATGCTTGGTCATCAAGTGCTTGACTACATTTTTAGTACCTATCATAGCTGCACATGCATACATAGCTTCGCAAATTGCTGATCCGCCACGTAGCTTTGGGACCTGTCAAACAGCTTTTCCTACTCTCTGAGATTTTATAAGTCAGTGCAGACCCATCTTGTCTTCTTGCCGCCATTATTGCTAACAGCATTCTCAGTTTGCTACGTGACTTTGTCGGCAGAGACGACCGACGGTGTAGCTGCTGGTTGCACTAGTTCTGTGTACATTTTAATGAAACGATTTTCATTTTTTGGCTAAAATATAGATAATGTAGAAAGGGAGCGGCTATTGAGGCTCCAGTTTTCGCTATTGAGACTATACCCTTGTTAAGATTACCTTAATTGTCAAATTGCTGCATTGTGCGTTTTAGAAATAATGACTATTTCATCTCATACCACTTACTACATCGTACATCTAGCCTCCCTTCTTAACAGCAAGATGGGATGCATTTATCAGAAAACAAGAGAGCTATATTTTATTGAGTTTACGTAGTTTGTCACGCGCTTGACGAGCTGACAATACCGAAAGGCTAAATTACAACAATTAAACGACAACAAAGGGCGAAAAAAGCAAGATAATCAAGATTAGGCAGTGTTTTGCAATACTTTTGCAAGGCTGTCCACAACAGGCGCTTCATTAATAGGAATATAATATAGCATCTGAAGCACAATTCGAGGGTGGACAGCATAAACATGTGTTTTTATTGTGCTTTACGGTCGTCTGTTTCACGCTGTTGTTAAAAATGTCTGAATACGTTTGTACCATAAATGAAGTGCCGTCGTTGGAACTTTTTGAAGTGTTTCTCTTAACGGTAAGAGAGACCCGCCGTAGAGTGGGATGGTATTCACCTTAACCAAGCCGGTGCGAGCCCAACTTTTAAGTGCTCTCACTCGTTGGAGGGGCTGCTATATGTGGAGCTGCGGATATGACTGGCCTAGTCTCTATTATGAAAATTAAAAATGGAAACCCACAGTATTCCAAACGATTTAACAATCAAGGGGGTTTCGAATATATTAAACTTGATTTATGTATGGGGTGAAGGCTAATTAACGAAAACTAAAGGCTCACTAGCGAAAACCAAAGGCTCATTAGCGAAAATCAAAGGCTCATTAGCGAAAACTGAAGGCTTACAAGAGGCTGTCTATAAAAATGTTGACCAGTAATCATGAGAGACCGACACAAGCGTCCTAATTATATGTAAAGTGCTAGATTTGGGACATAGAGCTCAATCAGCACCTCAAATTAGCTGGAGAAACACGCCATTTGGTTGGTTGCAACGACAAATGTATGGAAATAATTGAAAATCCAATGGGTCATTGGTCCGGGTTAGACCTCGACCCGGTGCTTGACCCGGTCCAGCCGGGTCAAGCGTTAGGTTGATTTATTTAAAAGGTCCGTGTCGGGGCCCCACACTACACTAAGGTTGTATCGCTCACGATCGTAATCCTAGTATGCCGAGCTAGTTCATGGGTGACGCACGCCATTCAGTCGTCGACGCATGTCTTGCTTAGTAAGATAAACGATAGGGATGGTATTACTCAAAGGTTATATTTTGGTCCTACACTCAATACCCTTATCTGGACATGTACTGGGGTTGTATACCATGCAGCGTTACCGGTTTGTCCAACCGGAGTGTGAACCCGTTACTGTAACGGGTAGCCCGTTACATGACATTGACCTCAAATGGTGTCAATAGGGAGATTGTTTAGCGTGACAATTCCCTACCACATTATCCGAGATGGACAATCTTGAAGAAATCTTATCCCCTAAGAATGATGTTTATACGCTGCTCAAAGGTTGGTTGATAAAGACCTACTAATCAAATTTACCAACAATTGCTGCTAGACGCGCATAATGAGTGGTGAGCAGGTTGTCGTCATACGACAATGTATATTCATATAGAGATAAAGACTGAAGTTATATTCATAGCATGACTGTACTATTTACAGTTCTCTTTATACTCTTACTCAAACTAGCAGTTTGAGTAGATTAGCTTCCTCTGCACGTACGAATGTACATGTAGTTTCGTAGCACCCAAGCAAAGGGTTCCCCGTTACACCTGGTAGCACTTCGTAGTCCGTCCAACGACTACTTAATGTCCGTTGAACACGAACATGTCAGACGTAGAAGACGACAGCTTTCACGTCACACGTGAAGGCTACTCCCATCTGAGTGACTCAGAATGGGAGGTAGTCGGCCGTATGAGTGTGCTCATGGGCGAACCCTCCATCAGTGGTATGTTGGAGTCTCAAAGCAGAGACCAGCCACATGCTGCTATCAACAAGTTTCTACAACGGGAACTTGCCGTCGAAAGACAGGAGATAGCCTTGCTACAACTGAAAGGCTCTCATCAGTTGATGGGCGGGCCGACGCACATGCGTCGACCCGAAACCTTGAAGATTGATATCTTAAGGTAAAAGGGAACCACGAAGATTACCTTTCGAGATGGTTCGTCGAGTCAGACAATACTATCAGGGCCCGTCACATCGAGAGTGACGAGATGCAAGTCACCTTCGCCCTGGCAAATTTTACGGGACGAGCAAAACATAGCCTTAGGGCTCAAGCTTCACGACCCAAACGTGTTTGAGTCGTTAGAGACCTTAAAGTCTCGGCTCAAAAAGACGTTTGAGCCGCCAAGAGCCGAGTTCAAAGCACGCTCTGCACTCTTGAGGCTCAAGCAAGGCAAGAGTGATGTGCATGCTTACGCACAACATCTACGCTACCTTGCGAGTAGCGTTACGAAAAACCCTGTTGATGAGCACACGCTCATCAACGTGTTCATCTACGGCCTTGTAGATGGGCCTGTGAAGACCTACATGTTCCGAGAGGACTTCCATACGCTGGAAAAGGGCGATGGCGTATGTAGAACAATAAGACTTCAGCCTGAGACGGTCTCAGGCTAACTCGTCAAACTTTCGTCCGACGAGACGACGGGAAACAGGAGGTCCCGAACCAATAGACCTCTGTTACATCGAGAGCGATAACTCTCGCTCTCTGAGTCACAAGCGAAAGGCAAGATGTCATCGCTGTCAGAAGATTGGGCACTACGCCCATGAGTGTAGTGTCCCGAGCACCGCAACACGTCCAAAGACGGGACGTGATGACCGCCGTTGGCCGAGAAAAGGGCCAAGGCGTGGGTCCGACCATGTCGCTAAGCCGTGACAGCAAGTCGGACCGTCAAAAAACGGTCAGGGTCAGTAGGGGCGGAGCACACTGCTGATCCAGCAACGTCAAGAGAATTTGCAGGACTCTTGACGAACATTGCTCCTAACACGCAGTCTCTGTGTGTTACTGCCCATAGGTTTGAGGTGTCTGTCATCACTTTGAAGATCGAAGTGACAAGTAAAATGTGACTTCGTGCCCTAGTTGACTGTGGGGCGTCGAACAGTTTATTTGACGCCAGTCGCTAGGGGATAGTAGGCTCAGCCATGTTGAGCGAGAGTTCCCTCCAACGAAGATGACGGTGTGCCTTGCTACAGGCGCATCCGTAACAGTGAACAAACGTGTAGTGGGGATCCACTACACGCTAGAAAGAAAGAAGTACGATGATGACTTTATCGTATTAGATTTGGATGACATATTTGATGCCATCCTCGGTCTGCCATGGCTTAGAAAGTACCGGCCATGGGTTAGCTGGCAGCATCGATCCATGAAGATGCCTGCCGTTTTTCAGATGGCCATTTGATGAACGTCTTGGAGCGTCCACAAGCGTGCGGATGTACTACGAGTGAGCGCGATGGCCTCACTTGTGGTATGGTCGTTAGTACGACTGCACAAGATTACAGTGTAGAAGGCCACTGCATTGTGGAACCAGCTTCCGTCACCTGTGTAAAGACACAGGCTGCGCCGAAGGTTCACCACTCGAAGAGATCGAGTGGACTGAACACGGATGCACACCAAGAAGGGTGCATCCGAGAAGAGAGATTAGCGTTGTTCAGGATGGACAACACGTTGAAGCGAGATCGACTATCAGAGAGTCGATCGTAGAGCAAGCCCGATCGACTGAAAGAGAGCCGATCGAAGAGGACGTGACCGTGATCGAACATGTAACGGAAGAACTTTCCGAGGTTCCGGAGAGTGATAAACCTCAAGAAAGTTATGTTGAGGGTGTGAATCCCCAACCACCTGCGGATGTGATTTCCCAGGAAATCACCGAGACAGTGAATGTCTTGGTGAATGACGTATCGAGTGTGGGCTCTTTTACACTTGGTCTGGTGACGCCCCCGAAGTCAGCTTCGGAGGTGGTCAAGCTGCCAATGCTAGAATCTAAAAGATTCTTGCGAGATCTGCGTGGTGACAGGATCAAGCAGATTTGCGTACTCGTCACAGAGGACGAGGACGTCGCCGATATTCGGTCGGCACAAGTGTTTGCTGAGAACGAACGGGTTCTCAGTAGATCATCTATGAACGAGAGTGTCCTCGATGAGAAGACCCGGATTGAGCGATACACGTCTCAATATTAGGAGTCTTTGAAGAAAAATCCTTTGTATAAGGATTTGGTGAAATTTAGGGATGTTTTCCCGGAATCCTTGCCATGCGAGCTGCCTGAGGGCAAAGGCACTTGGTATGAGATCGAACTGAAACCCGGTTCGAAGTACTGTGTCATGAAGCAGTGGCCACTTCCTCAAGAACAGGTCACAGCGATCGACAAGTTCTTTGCCGATCGTTTAGCGGCTCGTCCTGTGAGGAAATCAACAACCCCACACAGCTCTCCGACCTCATGTGTGCGAAAGGCCACATGAGGGTGGCGGATAGTGCACGCGTTCAAAAAATTGAATGCTGCAACCGTATTGGCTCAGACGCCAATACCAAGGAAGGACGTGCTTATTGACGGTATGGCAAAGAGTACCATCTTTTCGTCCATGGATCTGATGGATGGATTCTATCAGATCCCCATGCGTGAACGGGAAATACCGTACACAGCAGTGAGCACCCCCAGTGGTATGCTTTGTGAGTGGCTAGTGATACCACAGGGTCTAAGTAACACTCCTGCAACGATTAACAGATATGTTACGAATCTGTTGCGATCGGTGCGAGACTTCGCACCGAGTTACTTTGACGATGTCTTCGTCCATAGCCGGTCTATGGATGGAAAGACGGACGTGGAGGTTCATAGAATCCACGTTCGGAAGGTTCTTACACTTGTGCGAGAGCATAAGTTGTTCGCGAACCTCAAGGAGTGTATATTTGCAGCGGACAAAATACCACTTCTTGGCTGCATTGTGGTGAAGTCGATCTCACAAAATTGCTTGTATGAGTGTCGATCTTCCACTTGCCCAGACTTGCCGACTCACGGAGGGGGTACTCCGATCCGTGCCTTGTTGTATGACCTTGTGCTCACCTTGTGTACCCGTCGGTTGGGCTGGCTTGAGCTCTTCGTAACGGCCTTGGGAGATGTCGATCTTGCTGAGAGGTTGGGTTGAGGGTTCGCTTCCGGTGCGGAAATCTTCACACCACGAACGGGGGTTCTGCGATCCCGATCTTGGATCGCACCGATCTTGATTCGTCTTCGAGATCGGGGTCTTTGCTGGGCGGAAATCTTCACTCAGCAAATAAAAGTCCTGCGTCGATCTTGCCTTGGGATCGGTCCGATCTGGTCTTGGGATCGGCCGATCTTGCCGGAAGTGCGCAATTTGGGTAGATCGGTGTCCTGTTTCGCCAAAATGAAACGTGCCGATCTGTCCAGGGGATCGCTTCGATCCTGCTCGGTCTTGTCTTGAACGCCTTGTCCAGATCTTCGGACCACTTGAACCGTCTCGCGATCTTGTGTCCAAAATCCTTTTCCTTTTCCGTTGTGTGCTGCTACCCTAGCAGTTGAGTTGAGTGTGAGTACTTGATCGATCCGGGCCAGATATCCCGGGATCGCTCTTCTCGATCTTGGCCAACAATCCAAGATCGGTCTTCTGTGTCCCTGTAACACGCGTGCCTTAACCCGCCGGGGAAGCCAAATCAATCCTGCCTGGAGAAGAGGGGAGGATAACGTGCGTCGTGAGCAGAAGAAGTAGAGTTCAAGTCTGTTTATTAACCAACCAAATTACTATCCAACCTACCCTTAAGCCTATTCTTAACTATAGGTCACTCTTCAAACCGATATCGCCTTGAATCTGGTTCGCCCCCTTGCCACGTGTCGAAATTTCGTGCCCTGTACTCCAATGATAGCGCCAATATCCCCGATATCGTACCTAGAGCACCAAATGGACCAAAATCTCCTATATGGTACCAAATACCCATTCTTGGCACCCAAGTACCCAATATATGACCCAAAATGCCGAATGTGTCCAAATTCACTTTGCGACGTCAATTCGGACAGCTTCCACTGGCTCTTTCGGCATGAAACTTCTTGACATCACTTAGTGACCTCTATCAAGTATATTCCACATGACCCAGTATCTTCATCAACCATATATTCATGATCAGTGTGGAACATGACCGATCTGTCATCCAATATCGAGATGTTGGAGGTCGATCCGGTCTAAATCGGCAATTAACACTTTTTCATCTCCTCATACGTGCTTCAATATCATCCTCCAGTGTTATCCAATCGACAACTTCATTCATACGTCTCGACATCGGTTTCCTTGACTCCCCTGAGTATGCAAAACTTCCAGATTGGTGTATAATTAACCAAAATCAGTACTCCCAATTTAGGATCGGTAAAGAGTATCACCGATCCGTATGGTGTTGCACCTTCTTTGCCGATTCACCGACCCGTACCACCTGGTCCCAGATGCACTTTGGGGAGTCACCTTGTCCCAGATGTGTCAATTCTCCAACAAACCGTTGCCACAACATGTCGATCTGCGATCTGATCTTAGCCTGCTTCAATGTACGTATACTTCTTCTTGACCGGCATTCCAATGAGCTGTATGACTTCATCCCGATGTCTGGTTCCAGATCGACCCATAACATTCTGCAAGATGTTACACCTTCGTCGCAGAGTCATATCCCATCACACGGTCCCAGATCCTTGTCCCAGATTGTTCCATGTAAATCGTTCCAGATCGCTCCGTCCCAGGTCGATCCATACCCATTAGTCTAACGACATTTGGATCGGTTCGCCGATCCCGTTAAGATCATCTTCCACCTCCGTATTGGATCGCCGAGTCTCATGGCCTCCTTTTCCACCAGTAAGCGGCGCTTTAAAGGTGTGGCCACCGATCCTCGTACAAAATTTGAGTAGTGACTTTGCCACAACCGCCCCCTGTACTGAAGTCTTTTGTAAAGCAATTGACCTCAGTACAGTCACTCATAAACTTCGTTCCAAGCACTTAAGTCCGTCTCATGGCCTCTCCGACGCATCCACCCACCTCGCCGATCTCTTCAGAAGGATCCACCATGTTTTTGTCTCCGGATCGCGACCTGTCGCCCTTCCGGCGCGCCAAGTGGCTAACAGAGTTTTCTCTTCCGTTGACTTCGACAATCTTCCGCCACTCCAGCACCCACGGGATCGGTGGATTCCCAACTATCTGGCGCGATCCCGGCGGGTAGCTTCCGAGATCGCTCCATGGTCCGTTTCGCGGATCGCGATGGTTTGCGTGAGGACCATGACCATTGAGCTGTTGTTTCACCACTACTCCAACCCCAGGAAGTTTCTGTTTCCCTTCTACAATCATGGACGAGCTCCGCCTACGGGGACTTGGGCTTCTGGGCTGATCTCGCGGCAACACATCGAGGCTCTTTACGCTACAGCCCCTTGGGATAATATCATAGTCCCAGTGAACCCGATATCGTTCACCATGACTGGGTGGTATCGTGATATGAGTCATCGGTACCTGGAGCTTGAGTCCACTCATCGACAAGCTCTGCGGGAATCCACTCATGCTTTCCCGATTCCTCTGGCTCAACGGCGATCTGAACGGTTCATGCAGACATTCTGGCGCCAACGAAAACAACGCCGTTCTCGCTTTGGAGCGCGTTGAAAGAACTTCTTGAAGATGATACTCAGCGGCATGATCGCTGGCCACTGCGATCTCGACATCTTGCTAGATCCCTTCTTCCTCCACTATCCGCGCCCACATGAAGACCGAGTTTAATATCCAGGGTTAGGACACTCTAACGACCCAGCTGACTTGCTAGAGGCGTTGGACATGGCAGACCAAGAGGATCCTTGGCGCAACCAGTTCCGTAACGCCTATTGGGATCATCCCGGATCGCAGATCCCTCGTCTGCAGGACAAGTTCAAACCTGCTCATTCGTCTTAGTCCAAGATCGATATCCAAGCCCGATCGTCTTTCATAATCGTGTAAGTCATTCAATCATCTTCTTTTTTTGGTACGTCCATTCTTTGCAACTTCGACAATATCGATCCTCATCGCTCCACATCATTCAGGAAGGTAATTCACTTGACTATCTCCATACTCACATACAAAAACCTCATCCACCAGCATGTGCTACCGTCTAGCACATCTTTCAACCCCTACATCCGCATATGCTACCTCCCGCATACTTGTTCGAACTGTTAAGGTTCGTCCGACTTGCCTTCATGAGACTGCATTACGTCGAAACGGTTTCGACTCACTCGGTTCCGCTCAAACCCTTGCAAGATCGCCCCACAACTTAGATCGGCCTCGTCCACCCAACTTGGATCGGGATATCCCTTCCACTTCACCAGAAACTGCCGGTGTACTCGCCCATAACGGGTTTTTCTACCAGATCGCACGTCCAATATTGCCTCTACTTCGTATTCCCCTTCTTCAAGATCGCCATCCCAACTGTCTTCTGGCAGCAGAGCTTCATCGAAATCCAAGCGATCTGATTCCTCTATCGTAAGCTGATCCTTCGGGCGTTCAGGGAACGTCTTTACCTTTTTTAGCTTCGATATATGTACAATCGGAAATAACCGATATGGAATTCCAGCGATCTCCAATTTTACAGCATGATCTCCACATACGTCCGCAACTCGGAATGGCCCATGCCACATGTGCGCTAGCTTCTTCGCATATCCCTCTTTAACTCGGTCCAGGTATAGCCAAACTTGTGCTCCTACTTCGATCTCGTGTGGTTCCAGATCTTCGTTGTGTCGATCCGCTCGCTCCTGGATCGCGGCTCGTAAACGATCGTTCACTGCGGATCGGGCTCGCTGGTATTGTCTTTGGATTTTGTATCTCCACCTCTTTGGATCGCGATCTCGTGTCCCCGTATTTCCCACTGGTAGCGTAGCCTCCAAAGTCGATCGCGGGTCCCACCCATGAATCAGATAAAACGGGGTATCCCCCCGGATCCGATCTTGTGCAGTGTTAGTGGCAAATGTGAGCCGCTCAGCATACTCATCCCAGTCTCGCTGGTCAACTTCAGCCACGTACATCTTGAGCGAATGTGTCAGGGTTTGCACCATTCGTTCGGCTGTTCCATTTGCTTGTGGCCTGTAAGCCATAGTAGCACGCTGTTTTTGTCCTACGATCCGACTGAAGGCTCGAAAGAAGTCGGACATAAATCCCGGTTCTCGATCGTGCCTGATAGCCTCGCTAGCTCCGAAGCGTCGAAACACACATTCTTCGTAATTCTCCGCTATTGTTTGTGCCGTCCGAGAGGAGCTAGCCTTTGCAATCACATATTCCGAGAAAAGGTCGACCCAAATGAGCAGTTCGGTGTTCCCCTTGATGGACTTGGGCAACGACGGTATATGATCCATGGCGATGAACTGGAATGGATAGGTTGCGTGTAGATTGCCCGGGGATTTCCCATGAATCATCGGGTTTCCTTTCCCGGTCTCACAGTCGGTACATCCGCCCACATATCGTTGAACGCTCCGATACAGTCCTCTCCAATGAAATCGCGATCTGATCCTCTAATAGGTTCGGCCAATACCCTGATGGCCTCCTTCCAGACTCGTGTGATAGTGATGCAAAAACTCCTGCTGCAACGTCTCAGGGATCACCAACCGCATCAAACCATCGCGATCTTCCGACTCTCTTTTCGCCATGGGGCAAAAAAATAGCAGATTGTTCTCATCGATCTCGTATTCCGGCGCCAGTTTGGCGCACATCTTCACTTCTACCGCATCCAAGTTTGATACATCGCCACTTAGATATGTTTTGAGATTGACAATCCAACGCTCTTCATCTTGAGCTTGGACAATTCGTTTAATCCTGATCCTCTGTACTATCTCCTCCTGTATCACTTCAGGTTCATGACGTATCCTCCTGGCTGATCTCGCGATCGCAGTTACCCGAGCTAGCTGACCATCTTGCTTGGGCTTCAGCAATTCATCGAGACGGTTCAGAGTCATCAGATCTTGCCGATCCTCTTCAGCTACAACCGTTCTTCCCTTCTCGCTCTGCAATGCTGTGCTGGCTAGTCGATCTGCGCTCTGATTCCACTCTCGCTTCATATGCAGAAACTCGTGACTAGGCCATGACTGCAGCTTCTCCAACGCTTTGTGTCTCAGAAGCTGAAGGCCCGGTGCCTTGCAGTCGATCTCACCGCGCATCTGTCGAATCACCAGACTGGAATCTCCACACAGTATTACTCGCCCCCTATCCATATCGGCGAGTAGCTCAAAGCACACTAGCAAGCCATTATACTCAGCTTCATTCACAGTCAGATCGTGAACATATCTCGATTCGGCCGCCACGATCGTCCATTCGGGTAACTTCCATATCACGGCACTGAACGACCCTCCTTTCTTTTTTATCCTAGCCGATCCATCGAAATTGGCCACCAGCAACTCCTCATCTGTTTCGACCGTTGGAGGAGGCATCGATATTTTGAGTCGACAGTCTTTTCGTGGGGAGATCGCAATCAGCATCTCTTCCACTTCTCCTCTCGGAGTGATACTCGCTGCTAACATGCCCAGGATCTCTTCCTCTCCTCTTTCACATTTCTTCACCTCCATAGTCCAATTTGACAACTAAGCAGCCCACCGTCCTAATCTCCCGTTGAGCCCTCGAGACTGCATCAACCAGGCTAACGTAGAATGTCGGGTCAGTACAGTGATCTCCCGCGAGGCAAGCGTAGTATAGCATACAATCAACACACGAAGTAGCGCCAGCACTTCTTTTTCTACCGTTGCGTAGTTAAGCTCATTAGGCTTTAAAGTGCGGCTAGTAAACGTCACCGGATGGTACACGCCATCGTACTCCTGTATCAGGGCCGCTGAGACAGCCCACTTGCTAGCGTAGACCACGATTACGGGGGACCGATCTGGGTCGAAATGCTTGAGCATGGGAGCTGTAGCTATCTTAGCTTTTAGCATAGTGAAAGCAACCTTGGCTTCCGTCCATCGACCCTCGTTGGAGCATTCGTCTCCTGCTGCAAGCTGAGATCGGCCGATCTCGAAGAAATCCGATTCTCTTAACTCATACAACACCGCGGCATACACCGCGAAATCCTCAATGAAGCGACGGTAGTAGTTCAAGCTCCCGAGAAAGGATTGCATAGCTCGTAGCGTGCTAGGAAACGGGATGTTAACAAACGACTCTAGGTTCTTGGGCTGAGCCTCCAGACCATCCATCGACACTCGATGTCCCAAATAATCGACCTTACGGCACCCCCAAAAGCTCTTCGTGAGGCTGATAGACAGATTCCACTTATCACATGCCTCCAGCAACCCGACTATTTTTGTGTACAAAGATCCCCATGACGTGGCTGGTATGAGAATATCGTCAATGTAAGATCGGCGTCCCAGTATAGACGGTCGTCGATCTGTCTCAGGTTCTCCATCTTTGAACACGTCGATCGGGCCATCAGAAGCTGATCTCTGGCCGATCTTGAGATATCCATACAACGCATTGTCCAGCAGACGTTGGAGATCTGGGGCGCGTTCTTAAGCCCAAAAGGCATTCGCAGCCACTCGAACAAGCCAAACGGTAAGGCAAACGCTGAGATCAGTTTTGCTCGTTCAGTCATTTCGACGACCCAAAATCCACTAGCCATGTCTAGCGAACAGTACCATAGAGCTTTATCCAGATCTTCCAACAGATCGCTGATCAACGGCATGGGATAAACCATCAGACGCGTCAGCTGGTTCACTCTTCGATAATCAATGCAAAGGCGAATATCCACTCCGTTCTTCTTGATGATCACCACTATCGGAGACGCCCAAGGTGACATGGTTGGCTGAACGATTTTGGCTGCTAATAGTCCTTTGATGAGATCTGACAGCTTCTCCCGATATTTGGGTGCGACCGGACGCACTCTTTGCGCTATCGGTGCTTTCCACCGACATCAATATCACAGATCGCGCCTCGTGCTGCTGGTGGTAGAGCATTACCTTTACCCATGAGGAGGTGACGGCTCTTCCAGATCAGCGATCTGAGCCGTTGTTGATCTGTGGTGAGAGGCACATCGGGATCACCGATCTGAATGTCCTCAATCGTAACTTCTTCCGTAGTCGCCGACATCTCTGGTAGCACGGCCATATGCTGCTCGATATCTTCCGCAAACAAATTTCCGCTCTCGTGGTGATAAACTGGTATTTCTGCAATCTCGACGTCTTCAGTATTTAGCATTATTTCTTCTTTAGGCTCCTTCGTCTCTTCCGGCTGGCCCAATTTCAACAGTCGGTCAGTCGGCTCAGCCTTCGGTAGAGACGATCTGTCACGTAGCCCTTCTTGCCCGGTGTCGCGGTCTCCCTTCGTTGCATGTTGGGTACCGATATCATGACCGTTCTCCATCCGCGATAGTTCGGCTCCCCTGACCGTTACTTCCCTCGCAACTACAGCATCTGCCTTTTGCGAATCGTCATCGTTAGCTTGCGGCGATACCGTGGAGATCGCCGGAGACAGGTTCTGTAACGCATCAGACGGACGTTTCAAGATGCGTTTGGGAGCGGCATACGTAGGACGATCTACCAATGGTCCGATCGGTTCTTTCGGGAGTTCGTTCACTCGATCCGTCGTAGCCTCATATGCCAGAGTTTGCCATTCCTTGTACTTCCCCGACCCGACTGTCACCAAACCTTGAGTTCGCGGTACCATATCGCCTTCGACCCACATGCCTAATATAGTGTGGGTGGGCAGTATGATCTCACGGTCGCCAATGTTGGTCATCTGCAGGTATTTCGTCTTACCCCACCCCGAGATCACAGTGGGGACCCAATCTAGTCCTCTAGCGACCCACAACTTCATCTTAGCCCTTCCGATCCCGATATTCACTTCCCTTGACTCTCCGACCGGGATCACCACGTGTTGGTCCTTCGCCGTTATATGTTGTATCTTCGATCCGTACGCGGGGCAACGTCCTGCAAGATGAATGCGGATTTCTTCTGGTAGACATAGCGCGCCATCCGCTAGATCGAGCCGCACTCCAGCAGGCACCATAAAATCCATACCCAGAATCGCTTCTTGCCCTGCCAGATCGCCTACCCATACATTGAAATAGTATACCAGCGATCCCGCGAGGGTCACCTTGATCTTGGTACGTCCTACCGTCATGTACGGAGTTTCTCCAATCCCGATACATTCTTGTCGTTGACTTTCGTCAATATTGCAACCGACCTCACGAGCAAAGGTGGTGTCAATGATCGACACTTCAGCACCAGAATCAAATAACAGAGTAGCTTTTACGTTGTTGATCTTGCCAACGGCTTTCGCTTGTTTGAACCACTTCCCGGGTGAATAATGTTTCCAGTATCCGCGAGATTCACCATAAGCGAGCTCGATCTCCATAGCTGGTTCAGATCGTGAGTACTCATCGATCCGCTTCAGATGGGACACGGAAGCGACACGTTTTAACTTCGAACGAGATATATTTGTTTCCACGTCAATATCCTGCTTACTCTCGCGATCTGTCTTTTTCTTTTCACGTATGCAATAATGCAGAGCCCAGAACGCTCGGCTTGTACCAGATTCAAACCTGGCGAGCGTCCTAGTTTAACATCTTCTCGGCCTTCTCTGGTAGCATCCCCGCATGCTTATTCGGGACGTACCACTGACGGATCATGTTGTAGAACTCCTCCATGGGACACTTCCCCGGGTCGTGCATCTCACCGCAAGCACGACACACGAAAAAACAATTGTCAGAGGGGTGTCCTTTACGCCCACAGTTCTGGCAAGTGAGCCGCTTCCAGCAACCGAGATCTCCATGCTTGGTCGATCCGCAATGAGTACACGGCTTCAATGGCATATTGCGATCTTGATAGTCTTGACGAGTGTTCGGGTCGACCGATCTCGCGTTTGCTGCAACGTCATTGGGGGATGAACGGCGATCCGCAGTAGCAGCCACATGGATCGATCTCAATCGATCTTCCAAATCCGATCCGCAGGTGTCCCATCCTGACTCGCTGTAGACGTCCTCGGTACGGACCATCCTTACCGCTCGTGCAGGCTTAGACAGCGCTGGACCCTGAGTTCCCTTCTGCCTGAATTTGGACGATCCCATCATCACTTTCCCTTGACGCGATCTCCCTTGTTGATATCCGTGCAGTGTCTTTTGCATGGCCTCCGCGTCTTCTACATTCAGCAGTAGCAATTGATTGGACAGATTGGGGTCGTCCAAGGTGTCAATGAAATGATTGACATGTTCCTTGCGCGCAGCTGGCAATCCAGTCATCACCGGTATCTTCGCCTGCATTCCCATCACATTAAGCCGATACAGGTACTGTAAAGGATCTTCCTCCGATCGTTTCTTTGCATGGTAGTACTGCCTGCTCGCGGATATCCCGTGTCCCGCATACTCCACAAGAAAACTGTTCATCAATTCTTTCCAATTGAATCTCGTCGATCTACTCAGCTGTCGATACCAGTAGCGGCTGGGACCACCATGAGATCACCGAGGACCAGACATCTCTCCTCGTCCGGTGCTTGGTCCCGGATAAACGCTGATTTCACTTTGCCGATCCAGGTCCGTGCTTTGTCTTCTTCCCGATCCTTCCCTGAGAATTCTTTCAGCTCAGAAATCGCTGAGATTCTGATCCTCTGCGTGATGCTTCCCCCTCCGGTAGTCGCACCGGTCGCGACTACATGAGGGCGCCGTGGTTCGGGCATCCATAGATCATCCGGGTCGTGTTCCGCCCCCTCATGGATATGTTGGTAAATGTCCGACCCCACCGACTCCATCTCCACATCCGGCATGTCAAGGCTTTCGTGTGAAGGTTGGAGCAAAGTACGCCGATCTGGGTAGCGGTTTGGCTGTCGATTCATTCGCTGAGCTGTACATTGATCCGCCTCGTACTTCTTCATGGCTGAATTGAAGTACCGACTCAGATCGCCCTCTTCTTGATCCTCCAGCCCAGTGCGGGTACTGGCCGATCTCTGCGGCATGTTGCTCTTGGCTTGTCCCTTATAGGCGTCGATCTTGGCTTGTCCGATCTTGTCCTTTAAGAATTTTCCACCCGATGGTCCTAGAGACATCTGACGAATGCTGATGGATCCATCTGACTCGCTCTCGGAGTCATCCGAGGCGTAGCGGGGCGATCCCGCGGAGTGTTTACAGAGCGAGCCCGAGGGCGTCCCGATTCTGTATTCAGGAGTATTCGCTTTGCCTACCAGCATTATCATGATCTCTACAAACTCATTCGCCGCGTCCTTCAACTGTTCCAAGCTGCAACTCAGCAGTTCATCTCCATCAAAAGCGTCAGGCCAGATACCCATGTCGTCCAACATCTGCAAAATCACACTGATCTCGTCGACTTTGTTGGTCCCGTGAAGTGGGACCGAGATCGGCTTATCCAGAGGACCAATCACCTTGGGCCTTAATATCTTGAACACTGGGTCCGTCTTGAGCAGCGTCTTCAACTGGCCATAATAGTACTGCCATTTTGCACGCTCCCGCGCTTCACCCGTCGTCTCCTTCTCCATGGACGCGATCTTTTTTGGGTTATATTCCGTCTTTGGCATCGCGATCTTATCTGGTGTTTCATCGTATTCCTCTTTGGCTCCGATCTTCGATTGCACGGTTCGGCCGATCTGGCGATCTTTGACATCTGATCCCATCGATCTCGTCGCGGATCGTTCTGATGTGGTCGATCTCGCGATTGTGCTCTTCGGCTTGAGGTCGGGCGATCTATCGACTAAGATATAGGGTTTGGCTTTCGCCGATTTAGTTTTCACCATTGGATTTTCATCCAGCAGATCGCTCTTTGCAGAGCGATCTGCGGTGGCCCCCGAAGGGACCCTAGGAGGGAATTGAGGTTTATCTTCCAGATCGATCTCTCGATCTTCCTCTTTCATTTTCATTTCATCAGAGCCCCTCCCAAAACTCTGATGATCTGAGGATCTTGTGCTTCTGCGTGTCTGCGTCGATCCCTTTGTCGCTGACACTTCAATCCCAGGTTCTTGCTTAATCTTGACATCTTCGCCAGTGGACTCACGGTGAAATCCAGAGGCCTCAGAAGATCCGGGCACGCGCACCATTGTGGTGAAGTCGATCTCACAAAATTGCTTGTATGAGTGTCGATCTTCCACTTGCCCAGACTTGCCGACTCACGGAGGGGGTACTCCGATCCGTGCCTTGTTGTATGACCTTGTGCTCACCTTGTGTACCCGTCGGTTGGGCTGGCTTGAGCTCTTCGTAACGGCCTTGGGAGATGTCGATCTTGCTGAGAGGTTGGGTTGAGGGTTCGCTTCCGGTGCGGAAATCTTCACACCACGAACGGGGGTTCTGCGATCCCGATCTTGGATCGCACCGATCTTGATTCGTCTTCGAGATCGGGGTCTTTGCTGTGCGGAAATCTTCACTCAGCAAATAAAAGTCCTGCGTCGATCTTGCCTTGGGATCGGCCGATCTTGCCGGAAGTGCGCAATTTGGGTAGATCGGTGTACTGTTTCGCCAAAATGAAACGTGCCGATCTGTCCAGGGGATCGCTTCGATCCTGCTCGGTCTTGTCTTGAACGCCTTGTCCAGATCTTCTGACCACTTGAACCGTCTCGCGATCTTGTGTCCAAAATCCTTTTCCTTTTCCGTTGTGTGCTGCTACCCTAGCAGTTGAGTTGAGTGTGAGTACTTGATCGATCCGGGCCAGATATCCCGGGATCGCTCTTCTCGATCTTGGCCAACAATCCAAGATCGGTCTTCTGTGTCCCTGTAACACGCGTGCCTTAACCCGCCGGGGAAGCCAAATCAATCCTGCCTGGAGAAGAGGGGAGGATAACGTGCGTCGTGAGCAGAAGAAGTAAAGTTCAAGTCTGTTTATTAACCAACCAAATTACTATCCAACCTACCCTTAAGCCTATTCTTAACTATAGGTCACTCTTCAAACCGATATCGCCTTGAATCTGGTTCGCCCCCTTGCCACGTGTCGAAATTTCGTGCCCTGTACTCCAATGATAGCGCCAATATCCCCGATATCGTACCTAGAGCACCAAATGGACCAAAATCTCCTATATGGTACCAAATACCCATTCTTGGCACCCAAGTACCCAATATATGACCCAAAATGCCGAATGTGTCCAAATTCACTTTGCGACGTCAATTCGGACAGCTTCCACTGGCTCTTTCGGCATGAAACTTCTTGACATCACTTAGTGACCTCTATCAAGTATATTCCACATGACCCAGTATCTTCATCAACCATATATTCATGATCAGTGTGGAACATGACCGATCTGTCATCCAATATCGAGATGTTGGAGGTCGATCCGGTCTAAATCGGCAATTAACACTTTTTCATCTCCTCATACGTGCTTCAATATCATCCTCCAGTGTTATCCAATCGACAACTTCATTCATACGTCTCGACATCGGTTTCCTTGACTCCCCTGAGTATGCAAAACTTCCAGATTGGTGTATAATTAACCAAAATCAGTACTCCCAATTTAGGATCGGTAAAGAGTATCACCGATCCGTATGGTGTTGCACCTTCTTTGCCGATTCACCGACCCGTACCACCTGGTCCCAGATGCACTTTGGGGAGTCACCTTGTCCCAGATGTGTCAATTCTCCAACAAACCGTTGCCACAACATGTCGATCTGCGATCTGATCTTAGCCTGCTTCAATGTACGTATACTTCTTCTTGACCGGCATTCCAATGAGCTGTATGACTTCATCCCGATGTCTGGTTCCAGATCGACCCATAACATTCTGCAAGATGTTACACCTTCGTCGCAGAGTCATATCCCATCACACGGTCCCAGATCCTTGTCCCAGATTGTTCCATGTAAATCGTTCCAGATCGCTCCGTCCCAGGTCGATCCATACCCATTAGTCTAACGAAATTTGGATCGGTTCGCCGATCCCGTTAAGATCATCTTCCACCTCCGTATTGGATCGCCGAGTCTCATGGCCTCCTTTTCCACCAGTAAGCGGCGCTTTAAAGGTGTGGCCACCGATCCTCGTACAAAATTTGAGTAGTGACTTTGCCACAGCATCGTGGGTAAAAACGGTGTACGCCCCGATCCGGAAAAGATCAAGGCGGTTAGCGACTGGCCTGTGCCAGTCGACGTCAAGGGACTTCGAAAGTTCCTTGGCTTAACGGCGCACTTGCACAAGTACTCGCGCAACTACGCCGAGATGACCGTACATCTCTCTCGTCTACTAAAGAAAAACGAGAGGTGGTCATGGGGTGCTGAGTGTCAGCAATCCTTCGAAAGTATCAAGAAAAGCTTGGTGAAATCGCCTGTGTTGGCGATTGCAGACCAGAACAGACCATTCCATGTGGTCTGTGACGCCAGCGAGGTTGCAATCGGCAGCGCGTTGATGCAGTTCGACTCAGATGTCGTTGAGCGCGTCGTCTGTTACTAATCGCGTCAGCTGCAAGCAGCTGAGCGAAATTATCCAGTGCATGACAAGGAGCCCCTTGCCATGATATATGCACTGGCTAAGGATCGGGTAAATTCCTTAGGAGATAGGCCTTTCATCGTTTCTACCGAACATGCGTCGTTACGCACGGCCGTAAACAGTCCACACCTCTCGCAACGAATGGCAAGGTGGATGCCTTTCTTCGCGGAGTACAACTTCTCCCTCGAGTATAAACTAGGACGACTTAATGTCGTCGCTGGTGCTCTTTCGCGTCGGCCCGATTTCGAGCCGACTGCTCAACCCAACATTAGGGGTGATCTTACTGTAGCGACTAACAGTGAGCGTTCCGTCGTCGAATCTGCTCGACGATGTGCGAAAAGCACACACAGAAGATGAGTCTCTTCTGCGGTTGATGGATTACGTATCCAATCCATGCAGTCAAGATTTGAAAAGCCTGTCGTCTCAATACCACTCTTCGACCGAACGGTATTCTGTTCGTGATGGACTGCTGTACTTTACAGCAGTCAACGACGACACGCCTCGTGTCGTCGTTCCCGTTCATAATGATATGCGACTGCGCATCATGTATGAGTGTCACGATGCCCCGACAAGCGGGCATCGCGGTATATATAGGACTTACCTCATGGTGAGTCGTGACTTCTACTGGCCCGGCCAGTATGAGTTTGTGCGCGAATACATTCGCGCTTGCGAAGTTTGTCAACGGGTGAAGTTTAGTCCTTCATCCCGCTTACCCTTGCATCCTCTTCCGATTCCGGCAGAGTTTTGGCAGTCCATATTGAAGGATTCGTCTTTGGGTTTCTCAAAGACGTTCACAAGAATACTAGTATTCTTGTGTTTGTTGATCGGTTCAGCAAGATGGTACATGTTGTTGCTGTACCGGAGTCAATCACAGCTCAGGGCTGTGATCGTCTTTTTAACGATACTATCTTCCGGCTTCACGGGTTATCCAGTGAGCTCGCGTCTGATAGGGACCCCCGCTTCACAGCGGAGCTCTGGCAATCCGTGTTCCGTTCACTTGAAACACGTCTAAAGATGTCGACTTCTGACCATCCAGAAACATATGGTCAGACGGAACGCGTCAACCGCGTTCTCGAAGAGATACTTCGAGGGTATGTCCACTCGCTTACGAGCTGAAGTGAGTTCTTGCCGATGGCGGAATTCGCCATTAACACTCGGTGCATGCTTCGACAACAAATACACCGTTCTTCGTGATTGGCCTACGCCATCCAAGTTTACCCGCCTTCTTAGAGTGTGACTCTAGTTTAAGAGTGGTGATGGACTCGCTCGAACAAAACCGACCTGGTTCTTGCTCATCACCCGTCGACAAGGGTGTCGACGTGATGGATGCCGATGTCGGTCACATCGATATCAATGATGACGATGACGACGATGCTGGTATATTCAGCATCGCCAATGGCTGCCACAGTGAGGAAGATGGAGCCCTCACTGGTGAAGACAACGTTCTTTCAGCAGTGCACACGAAGCGCACTGCTGTTATAAAGGATGAGTCATAAGAGGAATTTCTGCCGACTCGCGAAGCGGTGGTCCGCTTCGTTCAATACTCTATTGCAGATGCAATAGACAGACAGAAGAGGAACGCAGACAACATGGAAGAGCAAATGTTCGTTCATTAGAAGAAGAAGATTTAGTTTTACTGTCTACAGTAAATATTACGAAACACGCAGTGACAAACGTGGGCAGCAGTAAAAGACTGCCCAAGTACATCGGTCCATTTCGTGTGTTGCGCCGAATGGGCAACGCATACACGATTGAACTGCCCCGTAATATGCGTACGCATCCCACGTTTTACGTTGAACGTATCCGCCCGTACTATCAGTACGAGACCGTTTCGAGATGCGAAGAATACCTCCGCGGTCGGGAGCCGAGACCACCTTCAAGTGGTCCAGTTTAACGAGCCAGTCTGGTCGACTAGCGAAGCGACCTGTTTATGCAGTTGAGTAATGTCCTGACGAGCTGCGGTCAGCTCTTCACAACTAGAACGAATCGAACGTTCGTTCTTAAGTTGCGCGAGCGCAAAAGCGGCACGATCGTCCGAAAGATCGTGCATTAGGGAATTGTAATTATCCCTTACAAGATACTCAAGCTCATTACGCCGAGTCAGTTCGTGAGCCATGTCATCTTGCAGCTGTTCCATTACACGGTTCAGCTCTTGAACATCAAGCTGATCCGACCCTAGAGCCAGATCAGGTGTTTCCGCCGCCATCGCATCCTTTGGTGGATTCAAGCGGTGGTAAACGCTTTCTAGTGGAGCGTAATTAAACTTAAGCGACGTGATTGGCGTCCGGGCGAGTTACCTCGTCCGCTGGCGTGGCTACCCACCGGCGTGAAACGGCTGGGAACCTCGTGCCCAGCTGATTGTTGATTTCCTTGGTCTCGCCGAGCAGTACGACGAGACCAACCCGCTGCGTTCGAAGAAGGGCCGTCGGAAGATGACCTCCCCGAACGCGAGTACATACATTGCAAGATGTCAATCCCTTCAGCCATCTTGGAAGAGATGCGCGCACTTCAGTAGGGAATGTTAAGGAGGTAGAACCCCCTAGGGGCACGATTCGAGTTGTCCAGGCAACCTGGACACGAATCACCCCACGAGAGATAGGTCAACCCTGCCTCTCTTGACAGTCGGTGCAACTTGTACCGTACACCGACTGGGTTACGCTTCTCAAACCTGATGCGAGCTGCATCAAGTTTGGCGAGCCAGGCCTCACGGCCAATGCACTCGATGTTATGGAAGAAGGTATAATATCCCTGCAACAAGGCCTTTCCGTCTCGAACACGGCTGCCATTTTACCACCGATGTTTGAATAACGCATCGGTCAAAATTTCTTCCTCGGCACGAATAGTTTCCGTGCTGGATTTGGGATGCCAGATCCTCCTACAGTCGAATAACGGGATTCGATCCCAAGCGGTGGTCATGCCAGCCGCTCAATCTAGATCTTTGGATGGCGGCATCCAAGGAGACTCCACTTGAGGAGCGTGGCGCAGGACATTGCGGTCCCTGGCCTCCTGATTGGTGTCAGACGAGCACTGACACCAGTGGCATCTCTTACTTTCGAATAGCTTCTCCCGTGGTGATGCTGAGGGTCATAACCACGCGTCTTATCGTCGGATTGACTTGCGTGAGGCGAGGTTTCATCGGAAGAATAACTCTGTCCGAAGATTTCGGACATGATGCCGCCACGTTCCCAGAGCCAGTCAATCTGGCTCGTGCAGTGTCCGCCTCGAAAAATCCGGAGGCGTCAGGTGTTGCCTTCGAGTCGGATGCATCGTATGACTCGCCGAGTTAGATGAGCTCAATTCCAGGCTTTAATACATTGCGATCACAGTATACGCTGCAGACGCAGCGGATGTATCTGTCGCACGTGGTGACTCACCACGTGGACTTTTCGCAAGGGGCACCGCCTGTTCTAAATCGCAACAGCAGGCGAAGCGTCACCTGCTGCTAGAGCAAGAGAAAAAAACCTTCGGCTGCACGCATACGTGCAACCGCTTTTCTTGCTGCTTCGTCAGCACATCGCATAGACTTTGACACCGTACGATGAATTAGCAGATGAGTTGGAATTCGACTAACAATTGCTCCCCATCTCAAAGTGATCCAACGGTGGTCACCCTGTCCCAATCATTTGAATTCTATCAACGGGTGGTTGATGGTTAAGGGGGAGGGTACTGTAATGGGGTATCCCGTCACACGATTTGATACCAAACGGTGTCGATAGGGAGATTGTATAGCATGACAATTCCCTACCCACATTTTCCTAGATGGATAATATTCATGCGCTGCTCTAAGCTTGGTTGATATAAGACATATCAATTATAGATTACCACCAATCGCTACTAGACGCGTGTAATGAGTGGTGAGCAGGTTGTCGTCATACGACAATGAAGATTAATACAGTTAGATAACGACTGAGGTTATTTTGATAGCTTGACTATATTATATACAGTTCTCTTTACACCCTTTACTCAAACTAGCAGTTTGAGTAGATTAGCTTTCTCTGCACGTACTAGTGTACGTGAAGTTTCGCGGCACCCCAAACAAAGGGTGTCCCGTTACAGTTACAGCTTCGACAAAATTGATCCTGATCTCTTTCATGTGACACAAGAGGCTCGATACCACAAGATGATGAGACTTTCACGACCGCTGGCATAGATTATTAAGATAAATATATAGCTGCTATGAATCGTGCGTAGGTAGGCAAAACTGGTGTGTTTAAAGCAGAAAGTGATGTTTTTAAAAGTTTCCCCACAAGTTGACGAGCCGTTGTAAATTGTGGCCACAGTGCTCAATTTAATCTAGTAGCACTTTAAGCGACCGAAAATGCCATTTTCTAAATAAAAGATATTGACAAGTTTATCAGGATCATGCTGGACCAGAAGTACATGGTAAGAGCTTTTGCGTCGACGCGCCATCGACTCTACTATGTATTGCCATGTGTTTCTGCTTTTTGGTGTGGCTGTAAAATGGCTGTTGCTGCTGCTACCTAGTGCGAGCGAGATTGTGTTCCTGAGAAGTCAGAAGTGACGTATGTTCGCGCAAGTTACTTGCATAACGGCACCATTTCAGTCACTGATTTACACAAACATGAATTTGACGAAACAACTTGTTCACATGGACTGCTGATTCCTATACAATGCATGTAAACGTATCCTCTTACAAACGCACATTTCCGAAAGCTCTGCTGCTACCAATTTATGCTGGGTCAATACTTGGTGCTCTTGATGTTTCTCGAATGATTTCCTGATTGCAATGTGAAGATCTTCACCGAACCCAATGTCGAAAACTACGTACATTAGTGCAGCGTGTAACTGATTGACGAGATTGTATCAATGATGATCATTGATTCGATCGCAGCAAAACGTTATTCTAAGCTGTGACTAGCTAGATCAGATGTCTATGACCGCAGTGTTCTTGTCAGTGACCGTACTTAACTGTCCGTGGCTTTGGCACCTTCAATTGGTTTATCCTGGTACGAAATGCGCTGTGATTGGATCCAATCAAGCCCTCGCCGAGGGCACTTCATAGCAGACGGAAGTCAGTACAGCGTTTTGTCATGGAAAGCTTCCACCGGTAATTACGGGCGCTCAAAACATTAGCAAACGGTGCTCATCGCTATTCGCTTGGAAACTTATTCCTACCACGTGAACCCGTCTTTGATTTTTCCTCGCAACATTGAGACCAGCCGTTTTTTCTCTCCTTTTTCAGAGCAGTTTTGACTATGCTACCACGACTGCCTGCAATAGACTTGCCCATACAAGTGCTAGAGGCGATGCATCCACATCCAAGGTGATATGCCAGCTGTACCGAGCTTTATCTGCGAACACGGGGACATCTCAAAGAGTGGCAGCCAAGTCAAAATCTAAAATATACTTCAGCTGCTCCTCGCCCGCACACTGCATCTTCCTCCCCTATTCATCTCCACCATGGGCTCTTCGTCTTCGACTCACTCGTTGGCTGTCTCTCCTGGGATGCTACAACGCACGCTATCCACCGTCGCACCTAATGAAAGTGCGCCTTCTAAGGCAGCACACGCCTGCCGTTTGCGAGATCGGCGTACTATTCGTCCTACAAGAAATAGTCCGGAGCCGGCTTCTTTGCAGGCACGCCACGTGCATCTTGTGGTGCAGCTTCAAAAATCTGTGCTCATCAGTCGTAGTCAGACGGAGCAAAAAGATGTGCGGTGGTTAGCATCCGGTGTGCACACAGATACATGTAACAACGAGTAACCAAGTTTTGCTTCTCTTACCTTGAACCGCTGCTCCAAATTCTCATCAAGTTCCAGGATAGCGGCAACGTTGCCGCATCGGTAGCAGTAGTTGGGTGCCGACCAGACCGTCACCAGCGCGTTGTTAAACATGGATTTGTGGCCTTCCATCACTAGCTGATGCGCTCTGCAGATCAACTGAATGTCGTTCGTCTGGTTAAACTGTATCATCACAATGACATTGGATGATAGCATCAGGTCACGAAACAAGCTGATCGGTCATTCCAAAGATAAAAAAGATCAAACTTGTCCAAACCTTTTCCACAACATCGCCACCGAACAGGTATCCTGCACCACGTGGACTCAATCCCCAGCCGTCAATGTCCTCCGGGTCGGACCACATGAGGTCGCACATAGCCCCATCATGTGGAACTTCCTGCTTCCGGTCGATGATTCGAATTTGGTCGAGCGTGTTGATTGACGGAGACAGACCGCCGTGCACACAAAAGATCTTGTCCTCGATAATGGCTGACAAACTTAAATAATCGAAGATTTCCGTGCAGTACCGCCACACGTTCACGGAGCCGTACTTGCGCAGACACTCGTCATAGAACCCGTACACCTGCGTGATCTGACGACTCTCGTGGTTGCCACGGATCAGCGTAATGCGGTCCGGGTACCTCACCTAAGTCCGACATAAAATTCAGCATGAACCTAAAATTTAGTCATCGCGGCATCTCCTCCCCCTCCCCTCTCCATCCAAAGCACAGACCTTAAGGGCAAGTAGCAGCAGGAATGTCTCGACACTGTAAAAGCCGCGGTCGACAAAGTCGCCCATGAAAAGGTAGTTGGTCTCTGGGCATTCTCCCCCCACATTAAAGAGCTCCTTCAGGTCGTAGAACTGGCCGTGAATATCCCCGCAAATCTGTCCAAAAAGAAAAAACAACGAAATGCAATTAGAACTCAATTTCCCCTTCGTTTAAATTACTTGCAGTGACTAAACGCGGCGCCTCCTCCCTTTCTTACCGTCACGGGCGCATCAATGCGCTGCACGTTGCTCTCGTCCACGAGGATCTCACGCGCCTTCTGACACAGCGCCTTCACTTCCGACTCTTTCAGGTACTCGCAGCGCTTCAGCTGCTCAATCTGTCGGTCCAGTTCGCTCTGACTCGCCGCCATCTTTGGTAGTTTATTCGCCACTGTGATAGCGAACCGCTAGATACAGAACGGTCACTGACGTCGACCGGTCGTTTTCAACTATGACAACGAATAAACTGCACCTACGAAACCGAATAAAAAGCAACAAACGCATAATCTGTTGGGGCACTTTTTGAAACCTATTTTAGTGCACTCTCTTCCAAGAGACGTTAGCTCTCCTTCAACATGTCCGTAGTATGGACAGGAGGGGCCTCCGCTTGTTCCATGAATGTAGCCAACTTGTCTTCAGTCCTCTTCCGCTTCTTCTGCTCTTCGTGGATCCAGCCCATGTACAGATCGTTCAAGCTTTTGAGCTCGCGCTCCAGCTTCTGCCGACGTATCTTTTCGCGTTTCAGCCACTCGTGCACGTTGGCCACTGCAACTGCTTCATGCACAACACATGCGTCATTGTCTTCGTGCTCATCGTCCATCGTTGCTTGCGACTGAACTAGCTGGTGGGACGAAAGTTCCTCCTGACGTGAGGCCTTCTTGCGGAGTCGAGCACGCCTTATGCGGTGCGCTTCGGTGACGGCGGCGGTTGTGTCCGGTACAAACAGTTCTACACACACCTTTACAGCTACCATGGCGTGTTCCATCAGGATGATTGCGACTAGTGACCCGGCAGGTGAGATCTTTGGAAAGAGCCTGTTCAGGAATCCTGAATGCAGCCCGAAGATGGCGCAATTCGTCATCACCGACAAGTACCCCAGTGCACTGAATGCGTAGTACCATGTACCAATGCCTTGCGAAGGCGTTCGACGGCTCCGGCGGAAGCTCATGCAGAGCTTGAAACCGTCACTTCGAATCTCCATAATGTTGTTGCACAAACTCCAAAGCGAAGCTAAAGGGTAAGCCGCTGCGAATAGGGTCACTTGGCTGCAGCACCGCATCATTGCATGTCACGCACATGTAAGAGTTAGCAAGGAATAAAAAACGCAAGGATCGTGCTACGAGCGACGCGGAAATACGTACCCAAACTGCACAAACATCTCCAAGTAATCATCAAAGGTGCCGTCATACGTCGGGAAAAGCAGCTCCGCGTCAATCTTGTTCACAACAGTGGATGTGTCGTTGGTTTTTTTGGCCAGCTTCCCAGCTTCGGCCTTGAGTGACGATCTCTTACTCATGTAAGGCAGAAGTTGTTCTTGTATATTGCCTAGAAGCTGCCGCGTGATCAGCAACGAGCTCAGCGTTTGCTCCAGCAGGACCATGTTGCGTGTCTTGAACGCCACGTAGAATAGAAAGCCAAAGTTGTTCACGAAGTAAAACAACGCCAACTTCAGCACACGCGCATTCGCAAACTAAGGTGTACAAAACCGATTAGTAGTGGCAAGTCATGTTCAACAGGAAACAGAAACTACTCCTCACGTCAATTTCGGTGCGGTGGTTTTCGTACTGCGTCAAACTGGATGCAAACTTGGAGTATGTTGCATCTAGATACAGTACTACGATCGAGTACGTGATCGAAGGCACAAGACACACGTATTCGTACAAGCCGTCCCAGCCTGTAGCAGGCACAAATGCAACCGCAAACCATTCATCCATCCAACAATAAAGCACCATAAGAAAGGTGACTACAAGCATCGCAACCATTGTCGCGAACGCCGTCACAAAGTAGCGTTTTGCGCGGTCCTTGAGTGGAAAGTAGGTGTAGTAGCATCCTTCGACCGGATCGTAGCGTTTTTCACCAAAGAATTCGGTACGAGTGAGCTCCGAAGCCATCGAGTCGGATGCAGAAATACCCCACTCATTGCGCATCGTGCTCTCACGACGTTTCCAAAACTTCAGGAAAGCTGTCGCCCAACTTGTCACCACCAGCGAATACAATCCGCGGCCATACACAGCACAACTTGGAAAGAAGTCAAGCACAAACGTCAATAAACCGATCGCTGCTAGCGGCATGAGCCACTGCGTGTACATTCCAAGGAAAGCAAAGTAGAACCCCACTTCCTCCCCAAAGTACGAGCGCACAGTGTTCACTGGCTGCGGCTTCATCCACTTCTTGACCCAGTTATCGACCAACTCGCTGCGTTCTTTGTTATCGTGCAACGGAAAATGGTCGGTCAACAACTTTGAATGCATCGCTTGCTGCAGGAGTCGACCATGGTCCTCATCTTGCCACGGCTCCGGTATTTCAGCCACACTTTTATCATCCACTACTTCAACGGCATGGTCTCCAGTAGGACACCAATAGTCCGATCGCACTTTCACCCTCTCCAGTTCAAACATGACGAGATCGATCCGGTCTCCCGAACAGAAGCGTTCAGGCACAGGCTCATCACTCACCTCGCCATACAGCACACGCTCTTTCTTCTCCTTGATCGCCATCAGTGTAGCATGCGTAGCTCCCAGCAGGTAGTACGTTTCTTTCAGCCCCGAGGCTCCAATCTCGCCTTCTTTTGCTTCCTGTTTCTCCAGTACGTTCTTCGACTTGGGGGCAATAACCAGGTGACTTTGCTTCTCCACCATTTGCACAAAGAAGTCCACAGCTGCCTGCGAATACGCGTCCGTGTCAAAGCATAAGATCACGTCCATGTTGTGCTCTTCATCGCCACGTGGAGCGATTTTCTACCGGCACAAAGATACCTCAGTCTCAAAAGGAAGAGATCGACATTCATCGAGAGAGCTCAATCTTCCAATGGGGTACGTACCACAGGCGTAGCCACGATGAACTTGGTGAGCGTATAGGCGCTTGCAACAAAGCCGGCGCTTCCCACCGCGCTCTTGATCAGTGCGTCTGCGACACTCGCCATCAACGTCGCTCTCTCTCGTTTTCAGCGTCGTGTTTGGATCTTGGTAACTGGGTGTTTGAAGTCGTTCGACTTCAACACAGTTGGTCGTGTGGGTTGGTCCATTTTACGAACGGGTGGAGCTTTTTTGAACGAGCAACTTTAAGCAACCCCAAACTTGCGACGACTCCGATCAAATGTACTGATTTAAGTGATACCGGAAACCTCACGGCATTTCGTGGACCTCGTGACACATCTTGGCCGATGCAAATGGTGGAGGGGACGGACATTCGTCAGCCACCGCTCGCTGCGCTTGAGACGGCGGCAAATGAGGTCGCTACTGATGGAGAAAACGCTCAAAGCGTCTCAAAGCGTGCTATGCGGAAACAGAAGCGTCGTGTGCAGTGGGAAGAGCGCAAGATGGAAAAGAAGCTCAAGCGTCAACGACAGCAGCAGGACAAGCTGACCAATGGCCTCGTGGCGCTACCGAAGGAGCTGGATATGAGCGACGAGGCCGTGCTTCGACGCAAAGAAAGGACGATTGCCAAGCGGGAGACGTACCTCATGGCTGCAGAGGAAGGGGTGAAGGTCGTGATTGACTGTGAGTTTGAGGAAAAGTTGACGGAAAAGGAGAAGAAGAGTCTGTCGCAGCAGATCATGTGCGTATAATGTTGCTCATTCGAAGCAAACTACGGCAGGACAAGCTAATGGGACAGTGCGGATTGATGCTGACACTGCATTTAGGTTTTCGTATGGAGTGAACCGCCGCAGCAGGACGCCCATGAAGTACGTCGTTGACCCGTCGAAATGGCGATCTCAATTGGTTGTTGTAATATAGTGTTGCTCGTAGTGTCTGCATCACTTCTCTGCACGGTGACATCCGGAAGAACCTGGAGAAAATTGTTGGGTTTCATGAGTGGCAGGCGGTACGTACGAACCGAGCGTATGCTCTGTCAATCAAGTTTTTCTCTTGAATTGATGGTACTCACGGTGTGTAAATGCTTGCAGTTTACAGGATCTCCGAAGAGCTACATCGACCTTTTCGAGAAGAACTCGCTCGTTTATCTCACCGCTGACTCGCCTACGATCATCACGAAGCTGAGGCGCGACAAGGTTTATATCATTGGTGGTATCGTCGATCGCAACCGATTGAAGGGTATCACGTATGAAAAGGCAGTCGCACAGGGCATTGAGACGGCGAAACTCCCTCTTGATGCTGTAGTTGAAATGGGCGCTGCCACACGTGTGCTCACTGTTAACCATGGTGCGTCGCGTTGACCTTGCTGCTTTTCAATAGTATGATGCTCGGTGGTATTGCTAACCTGTTGTTTTGCAGTTTTTGAGATTCTGGCGCAGTTCTCAGAAGTAAAGGATTGGGCGCAGGCCACGCTTGCAACGCTTCCGTCGCGCAAAGGGGCTCATCTGAAGACAAGGAAAGCGGCTGGAATTTAGACGTGCCGACTACCAGACGACGATGTAATAAAAAGGCGAACTTTGCTAAACGACCCGTGCATTACGATCCTCTGATATTGCGCAGCGCCATTTCCAAGCGTTCTTCTGCCAGCTTCATGTCTTTTACCTGTGAAGCACGGGTCAAAGAACAATTGCGTGAGCACGGCAGCAAGTTATTGCGCTTTGTAATCGTGCGTACCTTGAGAGCAGCGATAGCAAACTTGGCGCACTCCATCGCGTCGTTTATTTCCGTTTGCGATACGGCCGTGTTCCGGACGTGGCCAGGTCTGCTCTGCGGTGGAGACGTAGGACGAGATTGATATGACAGTTCTGGAGCGGAGCTTGGGGCTGACGGTGATTGGTATGCAGATGTCACCGGATCAGCAGGGGGACGGTGCGGAGAATTTGAGGCAGGTGGAGCCTGGTGGGCTGGTGTCGCAGGAGTAGCTTGAGTTCGATACTCAGAGCTCGGGACCGGCGGAACCGAGTGCGCTGACGTCGGGCGTGCCGGAGAAGGCGCCGAGTGGCTTGGGGCCAACGACGGGATCGGTGGTTGATCAGAAGAAGGACCGTGCCAAATACCGTCGAGTTCGCTAGCACTCATCATACCAGCCGATCTCATCGAATCGGTGCGCGAAGGAAAAGACCTCAAAGGCTGCGGCGGTGGAGATCCAAGTGTTGTGGACTCCAACGGTTGCGTGTGCGGCAGGCTGGATCGCGTAGACTTCAATGCTTGTGTCCGTGGAGAACTAGGTGTCGGCATAGTTAATGAAACAGATGTCGCTGCTGGTAACGTATCGTCATTCCCATCGCCAACCTGTACGCACGCAAGTGAGCCCGCAACCCCGACAACGTCATGCCACATGCACCTACATTGTTCAAGTCCATTTCATCCGGAGAGCCCGGTATCGGCGTTTTCCCTTCCTTGATCGCTTTCAAGATTGTCGCTGCCTTGTATTTGCAATATCGTCGCTTCTCCACCACCTGAAAGGGGGCACGAGCAAGACAGCCACGTCACAGCAACAACAACAACGAACGTCAACAGCCCATCATCGATACAAAACCAATCCACCGCGTCTCGTACATCGTCCGATGTGTCTCCAAACTGGTTCAGAATGTCAAAAAACGTGCCAGCCGCATAAAATGTGCGAGCAGTGCTCCTACAAACGTGGCACCGAGACACATCACCATTAGACGCAAAATTCCGTGACCACGATACACTCCAACACGATGCGCCATCGAGCTTCCATCAGGCACCATCCAGCTAGCAGCTACATACTTGTTGGCAATGCCTGCACGGTCCTCATCGTCTGCCTTGGTAAAGATTTCCAGTGCAAAATCCTCGCAGATTTCCTGTCGACACAAATTGCAAGAACCCGGATCAATAAATTCCCAGTCAGCATCGCCTATTGGTCCCAGCATCAACAACGCAGCCAATCACAGACCTTTCCTTCTTCTTGGGTGAACTCTGGCAGCTTGTCCTTCTCGCCCTCGAGGCGGTCCATCAGCGACAACAGATAGTCGGTCGCTTCCGTCGAGGCGTCGTTCTCGCGCAGCTTAATGCCAAGCTCCATGGCATACTGCCGGCAATAGTACGCAATGAGCTTGGACTCGGGACGCGACGTGTCCCTGTCGAGCTCTTCGGCGCGCCGGATAAAAGGTAACAGCGCTTTAAACATGGGCGGCACCTTCGCGGGCTGGGGACTGGTCATTGTTGCTGAAGGAAGCGAAAGAAGAGATGGAGGTCGCTTGAACAGCGAGAGTGGAGTTGGTGCGGGTTTTATGTTTAAACGCTTTTTAAGAGCGTTTTATCGTTGCGATGGTTTCGTCGACTATATCCAGGCGCAAGTAAATGACGGAGAAAATTGGACTACTGTTCGACGTCCGACATACAGCTGTTTATCGTTGCAGTATACTTGTTCGAATAGCCACTAGAAATTTAAGCCTTCTCCAGCTTTTGATGTATTCAGCAAAGCAACGATTATTGTTTTTGAAATAGCGAAATGGGGGCGAGAAATAAATTGAAATGATGTGGTGATAGAATTTGAGACGATGTGGTTTGCTTAAGTGTGATTTGGAAATGGGCTTGGCGCTGCCTAAACTACCCGTATATAATTGACGCAGCTTCTAGGAATGTGACAGCCACGAAACAATGACCACGAACATGTAATTTGATCCTTTGTTGCTTCTTCCATAGCGGCCCATGATCGATCGATCGTGTAGTGCGAAATCACAACAGAGAGTTACATGGTGACGTGAAATGCATTCTTTGAGGTTGCTGGACAGGAGACGGTCGATCGATACTGTACGGGCTATGTTAGTTATTTTTGTGTCCGTCAAAATAAGAGATGGGACTCTGGTTGTGGCATTCGTATCGAAACGTCGCGGCTGGATGTCGTGATAAACTATCTAAAGAGCGATGGATGAGAAGATGATATGCTAGTCGAATATAGACCCTGATAGCAGCAACATGAAATTACAAGATAGAAAAAATGCTGTACGTACGAGCGTGTGCATAGGGATATTATTCAGGGTAATCGTTAGGTTTTGATGCAAGGTGCTGAAATATGTCTTCGTTCCTGGTGTTGTAACTACAAGAACGAGCATAGTTTGCATTTGTCGTTATAAAAAGGCCATCGCAATGCTGCAAAGACGCCAGGTGCCTACAGGTCTCAGTATAACAACCCGTCGATTGACTTTGCACGTAAGTTTGTTGTCTGATCACTAGTTATAAACTTAACGAAATATGCGAGCGAGTACGTCGAAGAGACAGCTTGTAAACTCACAACGATCAAGAGTGTAAGAACACCTACTGTAACGGGGTGAATCGTTACATAACAATTTATAAGAAATTGTTATTAGAATATAACTATAAGAGTTACATTCCCAGAATATTGTCATAAGGACGAATATTCTGTAGCACTTACGAGTAGTTCCTAATTGGTTGATATAGGCCATTATATCAACCAACGAAGACGCGCCACGACAGACGCACGCAATGAGTGGTGAGCAGATAACTGATTTACACATTTATATTCAGACATAGTTAGATGAAGATAAATAGTGATTTATTGCAGACATTAACTATTATAAATACAGTTCTACTTTTTACTTAAACTAAGTACTCGCTTCTCCATACCGTCTTCCTCTGCACGTACCAGTGTACGTGAAGTTACAAGGCACCGCCTTATTCTGTCATCAGAATAAGTAGCTTGTACTGTCACCAGTACAAGCTTCAGGGTGCCCCGTTACACCTGGTAGCACTTCGTAGTCCGTCCAAGGACCACGTTCACATCCAACATGAATATGTTAGATGATGATGATGACCAAAGCTTTCACGCTACGCGTGACGGCTACTCCCATTTGAGCGATGTCGAATGGGATGCGGTTGAACGGATGGGTTCAACCATGGGCATCCATGCTGTTAGCATCATGCTAGAGGCTCTCAATAGAGATGCCCAACATGCTACTATCGCCAAGTTCATTCAAAATGAACTTGACGCTGAACGCGAGAAAGTAGCCTTGCTTCACCTACAAGGTTCTCAACAAGCAGAGTTGTTGAGAGAACAGGGTGCTCAGGAGTTTGAACTGTTGAGACAGCAGCAGGCTGCTGCTGGTGGGTCGATGCACTCGCGTCGACCCGAAACCTTGAAGATTGACATCTCCAAGTATAGAGGGGTCGAAGAGGACTCCCTCTTAAGATGGTTCGTCGAATTGGATGACGCCATAAGGGCGTGTCGCATCGACGACGGGGATATGCAAGTTGCATTTGCCCAATCAAATCTGGCAGGACGTGCCAAGACTTGGGCACTGGGGCTCAAGTTGCACGACCCATATGCGTTTGGGTCGTTGGAAGTCTTCAAGTCGCGGCTCAGACAAACGTTTGAACCGCCTAGAGCTGAGTTCAGAGCTCGAACCGAACTCTTGAAGCTCAAGCAGGGTAAGCGTGATGTGCACGCTTACGCTCAACATATACGACATCTCACGAGTTGTATAAGTTCCAATCCGGTGGATGAACACACGTTGGTTTCGGTGTTCATGCAGGGTCTTGCGGATGGTCCCGTCAAGACTCACCTGTTCCGGCTTGAACTAGATTCACTAGAACAAGCCATTTCCATTGCGGAACAGGAAGACTTCAGTCTGAGACAGGCTCACGCCAGCTCGACATCATATCGTCAACCAAGACGATATGACAGCGGAGGTCCAGAGCCGATGGAACTCTGTTATGTAGAGATCGAGAAGGCTCGCTCTACAGACTACAAGAAGTTGCAGAAATGCAACAGATGTCAAAAGACAGGACACTACGCTTACGAGTGTAGTGCCCCTCGTCCAGTGTCTCGCAACACTGGGCGTAGTGACCGTCCACCCATGAGAAAGGGGCAGGGACGCGGGTCCGCTGTTGGTGCAAAGACGCGACAACGGGATGGACCGTCAAAAAATGGACAGGATCAGTAGGTGCGGAGCACCCTACTGGTCCAGCAACGTCAAGAGAATTTGTAGGCCTCTTGATGAAGGTTGCTCCCAACACACAAATATTGTGCGTTGCTGCTCTAGGTAATGAGATCTCACTCATTACCTTGAAACTCGAAGGGACGAAGAAGTTGTCCCTTCGAGCTCTAGTCGATCGTGGGGCGTCTAACATTTTTGTGCGACGCCAATCGCTAGAAGATGGTCACTTCAATTACAGTGAATGTGACACACCTCCTACGAGGATGACGGTACGCATTGCGACAGGCGCATCCGTAACCGTCATGAAGCGTATAGTGCAGATCCACTATACGCTAGAAGATACCCAATATGACGATGACTTTATCGTATTGGATTTGGATGACAAATTTGATGTCATCCTTGGAATACCGTGGCTCAGAAGGTACGAACCACGGGTTAACTGGCAACATCGAACAGTAACGATGCCTGCCGCTTGTTCATCAGATGGCCATCTGATGAACGTTTTGGAGCGTCCACAAGCATGTGGATGTACTACGAGTGGGTGCGATGGCCTCACTTGTGGTACGGTCGTTAGTACGACTGCACAAAACCTTAGTGTAACAAACGGTTACACTTCAAAGCAAAGTTCTGGCGGCTGTGAGGAAACACAGGCTGCGCCGAAGGTCCACCACTCGAATAAGTCGAGTGGACCGGGACAAAGATTTATCCCTAGCGGGGAACATCTAGAAGATAGACAATCGATCGCTCAGGTTAAGCGAAACGATAATCCTAGATCGACTGGAGAGTCTTTCATAGAGGATCTCGCTGTGGTTGCGCAACCCCAGCTAAAGGAAGTAAAGGGAATAAGTCCCAAGATTACAAATACGGCGGAAATAAGTTCCCCGAAACCCGCGGGAATAAGTCCCCGGGAAGCCGAAGGAATAAGTCCTTCGAGGCCTGAGGGAATAAGTCCCCAGGAAATGACAGATACATTGAATGTCATAGTCAATAACGGATCAAGTGTAGGCGCTTATACACTCGATCTGATTGCGCCTCCGAAGTTGACTTCGGAGATCACTCAGTTGCCAACGCTCGAACACAAAAGGTTCTTGCGTGATCTGCGTAGTGGCAAAGTCAAGCAGATCTGCGTACTCGTCGCTGACGACGAGTGTGTAGCCGACATAAGGTCAGCAACAGTGTTTGCTGAGAATGAACGGGTCCTCAGTAGTTCATCTATGGACGAGAGTGTCCTAGATGAAAAGACACGAGTTGAGCGATACGAATCCCAATCGTGGGAACCGCTCAAGACAAATCCTCTCTATGAAGATTTGGTTGAATTCAAGGATGTATTTCCTGAAACTGTTCCGTGCGAATTACCGAAAGATAAAGGTATTCGACACGAGGTCGAGCTTAAACCAGGCTCGAAGTACTGTGTCATGAAGCAGTGGCCACTGCCTCGTGAACAGGTCACAGCGATCGACAAGTTCTTGCCGATCGTTTATCGGCTGGCCATGTGAGGGAATCAACTTCCCCACATAGCTCTCCGACCTTCTGTGTGCGAAAAGCAACAGGAGGGTGGCGAATAGTGCATGCATTTAACAAGTTGAATGCTGCAACGGTACCGGCTCAGACGCCGATACCGAGGAAGGACGTAATCATTGATGGTATGTCAAAGAGTACCATCTTTTCGTCCATGGATTTGATGGATGGCTTCTATCAAATCCTGATGAGAGAACGGGATATACCCTATACCGCAGTTAGCACGCCTAGCGGCATGCTCTGGGAATGGCTAGTAATGCCACAAGGGCTTAGTAATGCCCCCGCCACGTTCAACAGATGTGTATCACATCTGTTGAGACCAGTACGAGAATTCGCACCGAGTTATTTCGATGACGTATTCATCCATAGTCGAGCTATGGATGGAAAGTCGGACGTTGAGGTTCACAGGTACCACGTCCGACAGGTTCTTACAATCATGCGAAAGCATCAAATGTATGCAAACCTCAAGAAGTGTATATTTGCAGCAAGCGAAATCCCACTTCTTGCGTTCATCGTTGGTAAGAACGGTATACGTCCTGATCCCGAAAAGATCAAGGCGATCACCGACTGGCCTGTGCCGGTTGATGTCAAAGGTCTTCGAAAATTTCTTGGGCTAGCGGCGTATTTGCATAAGTATTCACGCAATTACGCCGAGATGACTGTACACCTCTCTCGTTTGTTGAAAAAGAACGAGAGGTGGTTATGGAACGCTGAATGTCAGCGCTCCTTTGATGGTATCAAGCAGAGCTTGATACAATCCCCAGTCCTAGCAATAGCCGATCAGGACAGGCCATTTCATGTGGTCTGTGATGCCAGCGATTTCGCAATCGGCTGTGCAAAAATGCAGACGATCTTGAAGGCGTTGAACGCGTCGTCTGCTATCAGTCGCGTCAGCTGCAACCAGCTGAGCGGAACTATCCAGTGCATGACAAGGAACTCCTTGCCATGAAGTATGCACTCGCGAAGTTCAGAGTCTATCTATTAGAAGATAGACCCTTCATTGTTTACACTGACCATGCGTCATTACGCACGGCAGTGAAAAGCCCGCACCTTTCACAAAGAATGGCGCGGTGGTTGTCATTCTTTGCGGAATACAACTTCACGGTCGAGTACAAACCAGGACGACTTAATGTCGTTGCTGATGCACTCTCACGTCGTCCCGACTTTGAACCAGTCGTGAAACCCAACAGTGAGACAGTCACTGTTGCGGTTATGACGTCCTCAGTCCCATCTACAACGTTGTATGATGATGTGAGGCGGGCATACGCCCAAGATGGTGAGATTGCGAAGTTGTTGACACATCTCTCACAACCATCTCGAGAATCGTTGAAACGATTATCGTCTGCGCATCGATCTGCATCAGATCGGTACACTACTTGCAAGGGTTTACTGTATTATACAGCCGTTTCTGGTGACACACCACGTGTTGTCATTCCAGATGATACTGACCTGCGTTTGCGGATCATGTTCGAGTATCACGATGCTCCTATAGGAGGACATCGTGGCCGGGAGAAAACATATCTCACGGTGAGTCGAGACTTTTACTGGCCCCGCCAGTATCAGTTTGTGCGAAAGTATGTTCGCGCATGCGAAGTCTGTCAACGAGTGAAGTCAAGTCCTTCACTGCGTGCACCTTTACAGCCTCTACCGGTTCCGGCTGAGTGCTGGGAATCCATCTCAATGGATTTTGTCTTCGGGTTACCCAAAGACGCACGCGCGTAAACGGGTATTCTCGTATTTGTTGACAGATTCAGCAAGATGGTACACCTTGTGGCTGTACCAGAGACAATCACGGCAAGTGGCTGTGCTTGTGTCTTTATTGACACCATCTTCCGACTTCATGGGTTTCCCCGTGAACTCGTATCAGACAGAGATCCACGATTCACTGCTGATTTCTGGCGTTCCGTGTTCAAATCACTCGGAACGCGCTTGAAGATGTCTACATCTGATCATCCAGAGTCAGATGGTCAGATGGAACGTGCCAATCGTGTCCTTGAAGAGATACTTCGAGGATACGTACACTCCTTTAAGAGTTGGAGTGAGTTTTTACCAATGGTAGAGTTTTCCATTAACAACTCGGTGCATGCGTCCACGACACATACACCTTTTTACGTGAATGGCTTACGCCATCCGCGTGTACCCACCTTACTAGAGTATAACTCTGGGTTAGGGGGGGAGGGACTCGCGCGAGCAAAAACCGATTTGGTTCACGCTCATCACGCTCTGACGAAGAGGTCATTGCGTTTGATGCCGATATCGATAACATCGATATCGAAGAAAATGATGCCAGTGAGAGTGCGGAAGCCCTCACTGAAGAAAAGGTTAATGTTGCTGCAGTGCGCTCACAGCGCACTGAAGCTAACGAGTCATCAGATGAGTTCATACTGGCTCGTGAAACGGTAGTCCGTTTTGTGCAAGACTCCATCGCCGAAGCGGTGGATAAGCAAAAGCAAAACGCTGACAAGAATGGAAGGGCAAACACTCTTTTATTTGATAAAGGTGACTTAGTCCTACTGTCTACGGTCAGCCTACCAAAGCATGTAGTGACTAACTTGGGTAGCAGTAAACTTCTACCCAAGCACATCGGCCCATTTCGTGTATTGCACCTCCTAGGCAATGCATACACGATCGAGTTGCCACGTAAGATGCGAACGCATCCCACGTTTTACGTTGGTCGGCTTAAGCCGTACCATCAGTACGCTGCTTCTTCCGATGAAGAACGCCCTTGCGCTCAAGCACCTCGCAGAGAGCCTTGTGCTCCCGATGGTGGACATCGACAATGGTCTGAAGAGCAGTTATCTAATCCCGAGACCGATCAACAATCCCACGAGCTACCCTTAGCTCGTCACGAAGAGATGTCAGAGATCTCTCGTTCTCAAGCTGAGCAAAGGCAAACTCAGCTCGATGCTTCGAGACAGTGTCCGCCATTTGGAGACGCCTGTCACGCTCATGTTCGAGATCGTTGCGTAACCCTTGCGTTACGCGATCAAAGAAGCTCTCGGGAACACACGGATCCCCATGATCGTGTGGAGAGCGTCTTTCCTCCTCCTCCACCTCCATTAGAAGACTCTCGCGGTGGCCAGCGCTATCTAGTTGAGCAGCTGTTGAACCACCGCGACGTGAACGGACGTCGGACGAGTTACCTCGTCCGGTGGCGCGGTTATCCCCCGTCCTGGGATTCTTGGGAGCCCCGCTCCCAACTAATGATTGACGTACTGGGTCTGGTTGAGCAGTACGACGCGGCACATCCTGTGCCGCAGAAGGTCCGCCGGAGAAAGTCTTCCCGGCACGGTCTTAAAGTGATTTCAGGTTGTCAATCCCTTCGTACATCTCATTAGAGATACGTACGCGCGACCACGGGCTAATAAGGAGTCAAGCCTACTTAGATGCGCGCTGAGGTTTTTACACAACAAGGGCACGGGCCTCCCCAGGAAAGACAGGGCAACCCACCCTCCTTAGACAGACGATGCAGCTTGTAGCGTGCACCTGTCGGGGTTCGCTTTTCAAGCTTATCACGAGCTTTGATAAGTTTGTCGTTCCAAGCGTCACGACCTACATCCTCAAGGTTATGGATGTAGACGTTCCACGCTTAAAGTAGTGAGGGACCATCACGCTTGTGATTCCCACTGTACCATCGATGTCGAAAGAAAGCATCGATGAAGAATTCATTCTCAGCGCGATAGTTCTTCGCGCTGGGGTCAAGGTGATGGATCCTTGACGAATCGAGCAACCGTGTTCGATAACGATCACTCGTCGTCGCCGACAAGTGATCCAGGACAGATTTTGGAGGCATGCATGCCTTCTTCTCAGGAGAGAGACGCAAGACATTGCGATCCCGCTCTTCCTGCGATGTGCCGACAGAAGTACTGGCACCTCGTTGCGAAGTGGTGTCCATAGGAGAACCGGCACCACTGTTAGCGCCCGAGTCTCGCGACCTCGAGCGCCTACGCTTCGGCGATGGTTCATCTGATGAATCAGATGAACCAAAGATGCTACGACGCATAGCATCATCCATGCCACGCTTGGCAGGCGGCTTGGCTTCAATCGCCGTCGATACGGATCCGTCTTCCGTATCAGGAGAGTATGAGACACCGAGCTCATACTCTGTGAAGACATGAGTGTCTTCATGACCAGCGCCTGCATCACCAAGTGACACAGGCTGAGTCGCTTCAGCAACCGATGAGACATCAGTTGCTGTGGTTACTTCTTCGGCGTCCGCACAGAGACGTGCGGACGCGCTCTCGGCGGCCTTGCTCGCGCATCGCATGGGCTTGTTAGCCATGCGATGAAATGTTGGAAAGTGGACTCGGACCAACAAGTGCAAACCCTGTCCCAAATGATTTGGGACGAGTATCCATTTAGTCAATCAGTCACTAAAGTGACTGTTGGTTAGGGGGTGATGTAACGGGGTGAATCGTTACATAACAATTTATAAGAAATTGTTATTAGAATATAACTATAAGAGTTATATTCTCAGAATATTGTCATAAGGACAAATATTCTGTGGCACTTACGAGTAGTTCCTAATTGGTTGATATAGGCCATTATATCAACCAACGAAGACGCGCCACGACAGACGCACGCAATGAGTGGTGAGCAGATAGCTGCTATGCACATTTATATTCAGACCTAGTTAGATGAGGATAAATAGTGATTTATTGCAGACATTAACTATGATAAATACAGTTCTGCTTTTTTCTTTAATCAAGTACTCGCTTCTTCTTACCGTCTTCCTCTGCACGTACCAGTGTACGTGAAGTTCCGAGGCACCGCGTTATTCTGTCATCAGAATAAGTAGCTTGTACTGTTACCAGTACAAGCTTCAGGGTGCCCCGTTACAGTAGAAGTGGTCTTTTATGGTTGACCTAGTCGTCCCTTAATGGTAAACCGAAGTTTTGAAATGGTACATCTGGGCCTTTGGATGGAAAACCTGGGTATCTCAATAATAGAACTGAGCACCTGAATGGTAGGCCCGTATCCTTTAAGGTTCCTGGGCCAACCATGTTAGAAGCTGAGTATTTAGAGGAAGAAGAAGTGAAGGGGCCAAAAGACAGAAGAAAGCATGAAAGAAGAAAGAAAGCATGTGTGTTTAAGTAGGGGAGACCTAAGATGGTGGAACAAACTTGTTCTTAATGCAAGGAACAATGTCCCAGTAAGAAGCTATGATGCAATTTGGTATCGAGTGATCCAGGACCAACAGAGTTGGGCACCTGAAAGCTTTAAAGAAGTTAATCGGATATACTAAATCCTCACGACCAGAAAAACTATACACAAATCAGCAAGGTGTGAGGAGGAAGTGATTGAGGAGAATATCGAGAACACACTGACTGTCTCTCATTCCTATGTAGATCAAGTCGGCCATCTTCTGCAACGTTCGAGTAGCACAACCGCTAAGCTAATTGTGAAAGTTTTAGTAGGACGTGAGGTAGGTGCAACGGGGCACCCTGAAGCTTGTACTGGTAACAGTACAAGCTACTTATTCTGATGACAGAATAACGCGGTGCCTCGGAACTTCACGTACACTGGTACGTGCAGAGGAAGACGGTAAGAAGAAGCGAGTACTTGATTAAAGAAAAAAGCAGAACTGTATTTATCATAGTTAATGTCTGCAATAAATCACTATTTATCCTCATCTAACTATGTCTGAATATAAATGTGCATAGCAGCTATCTGCTCACCACTCATTGCGTGCGTCTGTCGTGGCGCGTCTTCGTTGGTTGATATAATGGCCTATATCAACCAATTAGGAACTACTCGTAAGTGCCACAGAATATTTGTCCTTATGACAATATTCTGAGAATATAACTCTTATAGTTATATTCTAATAACAATTTCTTATAAATTGTTATGTAACGATTCACCCCGTTACATCACCCCCCTAACCAACAGTCACTTTAGTGACTGATTGACTAAATGGATACTCGTCCCAAATCATTTGGGACAGGGTTTGCACTTGTTGGTCCGAGTCCACTTTCCAACATTTCATCGCATGGCTAACAAGCCCATGCGATGCGCGAGCAAGGCCGCCGAGAGCGCGTCCGCACGTCTCTGTGCGGACGCCGAAGAAGTAACCACAGCAACTGATGTCTCATCGGTTGCTGAAGCGACTCAGCCTGTGTCACTTGGTGATGCAGGCGCTGGTCATGAAGACACTCATGTCTTCACAGAGTATGAGCTCGGTGTCTCATACTCTCCTGATACGGAAGACGGATCCGTATCGACGGCGATTGAAGCCAAGCCGCCTGCCAAGCGTGGCATGGATGATGCTATGCGTCGTAGCATCTTTGGTTCATCTGATTCATCAGATGAACCATCGCCGAAGCGTAGGCGCTCGAGGTCGCGAGACTCGGGCGCTAACAGTGGTGCCGGTTCTCCTATGGACACCACTTCGCAACGAGGTGCCAGTACTTCTGTCGGCACATCGCAGGAAGAGCGGGATCGCAATGTCTTGCGTCTCTCTCCTGAGAAGAAGGCATGCATGCCTCCAAAATCTGTCCTGGATCACTTGTCGGCGACGACGAGTGATCGTTATCGAACACGGTTGCTCGATTCGTCAAGGATCCATCACCTTGACCCCAGCGCGAAGAACTATCGCGCTGAGAATGAATTCTTCATCGATGCTTTCTTTCGACATCGATGGTACAGTGGGAATCACAAGCGTGATGGTCCCTCACTACTTTAAGCGTGGAACGTCTACATCCATAACCTTGAGGATGTAGGTCGTGACGCTTGGAACGACAAACTTATCAAAGCTCGTGATAAGTTTGAAAAGCGAACCCCGACAGGTGCACGCTACAAGCTGCATCGTCTGTCTAAGGAGGGTGGGTTGCCCTGTCTTTCCTGGGGAGGCCCGTGCCCTTGTTGTGTAAAAACCTCAGTGCGCATCTAAGTAGGCTTGACTCCTTATTAGCCCGTGGTCGCGCGTACGTATCTCTAATGAGATGTACGAAGGGATTGACAACCTGAAATCACTTTAAGACCGTGCCGGGAAGACTTTCTCCGGCGGACCTTCTGCGGCACAGGATGTGCCGCGTCGTACTGCTCAACCAGACCCAGTACGTCAATCATTAGTTGGGAGCGGGGCTCCCAAGAATCCCAGGACGGGGGATAACCGCGCCACCGGACGAGGTAACTCGTCCGACGTCCGTTCACGTCGCGGTGGTTCAACGGCTGCTCAACTAGATAGCGCTGGCCACCGCGAGAGTCCTCTAATGGAGGTGGAGGAGGAGGAAAGACGCTCTCCACACGATCATGGGGATCCGTGTGTTCCCGAGAGCTTCTTTGATCGCGTAACGCAAGGGTTACGCAACGATCTCGAACATGAGCGGGACAGGCGTCTCCAAATGGCGGACACTGTCTCGAAGCATCGAGCTGAGTTTGCCTTTGCTCAGCTTGAGAACGAGAGATCTCTGACATCTCTTCGTGACGAGCTAAGGGTAGCTCGTGGGATTGTTGATCGGTCTCGGGATTAGATAACTGCTCTTCAGACCATTGTCGATGTCCACCATCGGGAGCACAAGGCTCTCTGCGAGGTGCTTGAGCGCAAGGGCGTTCTTCATCGGAAGAAGCAGCGTACTGATGGTACGGCTTAAGCCGACCAACGTAAAACGTGGGATGCGTTCGCATCTTACGTGGCAACTCGATCGTGTATGCATTGCCTAGGAGGTGCAATACACGAAATGGGCCGATGTGCTTGGGTAGAAGTTTACTGCTACCCAAGTTAGTCACTACATGCTTTGGTAGGCTGACCGTAGACAGTAGGACTAAGTCACCTTTATTAAATAAAAGAGTGTTTGCCCTTCCATTCTTGTCAGCGTTTTGCTTTTGCTTATCCACCGCTTCGGCGATGGAGTCTTGCACAAAACGGACTACCGTTTCACGAGCCAGTATGAACTCATCTGATGACTCGTTAGCTTCAGTGCGCTGTGAGCGCACTGCAGCAACATTAACCTTTTCTTCAGTGAGGGCTTCCGCACTCTCACTGGCATCATTTTCTTCGATATCGATGTTATCGATATCGGCATCAAACGCAATGACCTCTTCGTCAGAGCGTGATGAGCGTGAACCAAATCGGTTTTTGCTCGCGCGAGTCCCTCCCCCCCTAACCCAGAGTTATACTCTAGTAAGGTGGGTACACGCGGATGGCGTAAGCCATTCACGTAAAAAGGTGTATGTGTCGTGGACGCATGCACCGAGTTGTTAATGGAAAACTCTACCATTGGTAAAAACTCACTCCAACTCTTAAAGGAGTGTACGTATCCTCGAAGTATCTCTTCGAGGACACGATTGGCACGTTCCATCTGAGCATCTGACTCTGGATGATCAGATGTAGACATCTTCAAGCGCGTTCCGAGTGATTTGAACACGGAACGCCAGAAATCAGCAGTGAATCGTGGATCTCTGTCTGATACGAGTTCACGGGGAAACCCATGAAGTCGGAAGATGGTGTCAATAAAGACACAAGCACAGCCATTTGCCGTGATTGTCTCTGGTACAGCCACAAGGTGTACCATTTTGCTGAATCTGTCAACAAATACGAGAATACCCGTTTACGCACGTGCGTCTTTGGGTAACCCGAAGACAAAATCCATTGAGATGGATTCCCAGCACTCAGCCGGAACCGGTAGAGGCTGTAAAGGTGCACGCAGTGAAGGACTTGACTTCACTCGTTGACAGACTTCGCATGCGCGAACATACTTTCGCACAAACTGATACTGGCGGGGCCAGTAAAAGTCTCGACTCACCGTGAGATATGTTTTCTCACGGCCACGATGTCCTCCTATAGGAGCATCGTGATACTCGAACATGATACGCAAACGCAGATCAGTATCATCTGGAATGACAACACGTGGTGTGTCACCAGAAACGGCTGTATAATACAGTAAACCCTTGCAAGTAGTGTACCGATCTGATGCAGATCGATGCGCAGACGATAATCGTTTCAACGATTCTCGAGATGGTTGTGAGAGATGTGTCAACAACTTCGCAATCTCACCATCTTGGGCGTATGCCCGCCTCACATCATCATACAACGTTGTAGATGGGACTGAGGACGTCATAACCGCAACAGTGACTGTTTCACTGTTGGGTTTCACGACTGGTTCAAAGTCGGGACGACGTGAGAGTGCATCAGCAACGACATTAAGTCGTCCTGGTTTGTACTCGACCGTGAAGTTGTATTCCGCAAAGAATGACAACCACCGCGCCATTCTTTGTGAAAGGTGCGGGCTTTTCACTGCCGTGCGTAATGACGCATGGTCAGTGTAAACAATGAAGGGTCTATCTTCTAATAGATAGACTCTGAACTTCGCGAGTGCATACTTCATGGCAAGGAGTTCCTTGTCATGCACTGGATAGTTCCGCTCAGCTGGTTGCAGCTGACGCGACTGATAGCAGACGACGCGTTCAACGCCTTCAAGATCGTCTGCATTTTTGCACAGCCGATTGCGAAATCGCTGGCATCACAGACCACATGAAATGGCCTGTCCTGATCGGCTATTGCTAGGACTTGGGATTGTATAAAGCTCTGCTTGATACCATCAAAGGAGCGCTGACATTCAGCGTTCCATAACCACCTCTCGTTCTTTTTCAACAAACGAGAGAGGTGTACAGTCATCTCGGCGTAATCGCGTGAATACTTATGCAAATACGCCGCTAGCCCAAGGAATTTTCGAAGACCTTTGACATCAACTGGCACAGGCCAGTCGGTGATCGCCTTGATCTTTTCGGGATCAGGACGTATACCGTTCTTACCAACGATGCACGCAAGAAGTGGGATTTTGCTTGCTGCAAATATACACTTCTTGAGGTTTGCATACATTTGATGCTTTCGCATGATTGTAAGAACCTGTCGGACGTGGTATCTGTGAACCTCAACGTCCGACTTTCCTTCCATAGCTCGACTATGGATGAATACGTCATCGAAATAACTCGGCGTGAATTCTCGTACTGGTCTCAACAGATGTGATACACATCTGTTGAACGTGGCAGGGGCATTACTAAGCCCTTGTGGCATTACTAGCCATTCCCAGAGCATGCCGCTAGGCGTGCTAACTGCGGTATAGGGTATATCCCGTTCTCTCATCAGGATTTGATAGAAGCCATCCATCAAATCCATGGACGAAAAGATGGTACTCTTTGACATACCATCAATGATTACGTCCTTCCTCGGTATCGGCGTCTGAGCCGGTACCGTTGCAGCATTCAACTTGTTAAATGCATGCACTATTCGCCACCCTCCTGTTGCTTTTCGCACACAGAAGGTCGGAGAGCTATGTGGGGAAGTTGATTCCCTCACATGGCCAGCCGCTAAACGATCGGCAAGAACTTGTCGATCGCTGTGACCTGTTCACGAGGCAGTGGCCACTGCTTCATGACACAGTACTTCGAGCCTGGTTTAAGCTCGACCTCGTGTCGAATACCTTTATCTTTCGGTAATTCGCACGGAACAGTTTCAGGAAATACATCCTTGAATTCAACCAAATCTTCATAGAGAGGATTTGTCTTGAGCGGTTCCCACGATTGGGATTCGTATCGCTCAACTCGTGTCTTTTCATCTAGGACACTCTCGTCCATAGATGAACTACTGAGGACCCGTTCATTCTCAGCAAACACTGTTGCTGACCTTATGTCGGCTACACACTCGTCGTCAGCGACGAGTACGCAGATCTGCTTGACTTTGCCACTACGCAGATCATGCAAGAACCTTTTATGTTCGAGCGTTGGCAACTGAGTGATCTCCGAAGTCAACTTCGGAGGCGCAATCAGATCAAGTGTATAAGCGCCTACACTTGATCCGTTATTGACTATGACATTCAATGTATCTGTCATTTCCTGGGGACTTATTCCCTCAGGCCTCGAAGGACTTATTCCTTCGGCTTCCCGGGGACTTATTCCCGCGGGTTTCGGGGAACTTATTTCCGCCGTATTTGTAATCTTGGGACTTATTCCCTTTACTTCCTTTAGCTGGGGTTGCGCAACCACAGCGAGATCCTCTACGAAAGACTCTCCAGTCGATCTAGGATTATCGTTTCGCTTAACCTGAGCGATCGATTGTCTATCTTCTAGATGTTCCCCGCTAGGGATAAATCTTTGTCCCGGTCCACTCGACTTATTCGAGTGGTGGACCTTCGGCGCAGCCTGTGTTTCCTCACAGCCGCCAGAACTTTGCTTTGAAGTGTAACCGTTTGTTACACTAAGGTTTTGTGCAGTCGTACTAACGACCGTACCACAAGTGAAGCCATCGCACTCACTCGTAGTACATCCACACGCTTGTGGACGCTGCAAAACGTTCATCAGATGGCCATCTGATGAACAAGCGGCAGGCATCGTTACTGTTCGATGTTGCCAGTTAACCCGTGGTTCGTACCTTCTGAGCCACGGTATTCCAAGGATGACATCAAATTTGTCATCCAAATCCAATACGATGAAGTCATCGTCATATTGGGTATCTTCTAGCGTATAGTGGATCTTCACTATACGCTTCACGACGGTTACGGATGCGCCTGTCGCAATGCGTACCGTCATCCTCGTAGGAGGTGTGTCACATTCAACAAACTTGAAGTGACCATCTTCTAGCGATTGGCGTCGCACAAAAATGTTAGACGCCCCACGATCGACTAGAGCTCGAAGGGACAACTTCTTCGTCCCTTCGAGTTTCAAGGTAATGAGTGAGATCTCATTACCTAGAGCAGCAACGCACAATATTTGTGTGTTGGGAGCAACCTTCATCAAGAGGCCTACAAATTCTCTTGACGTTGCTGGACCAGTAGGGTGCTCCGCACCTACTGATCCTGTCCATTTTTTGACGGTCCATCCCGTTGTCGCGTCTTTGCACCAACGGCGGACCCGCGTCCCTGCCTCTTTCTCATGGGTGGACGGTCACTACGCCCAGTGTTCCGAGACACTGGACGAGGGGCACTACACTCGTAAGCGTAGTGTCCTGTCTTCTGACATCTGCTGCATTTCTGCAACTTCTTGTAGTTTGTAGAGCGAGCCTTCTCGATCTCTACATAACAGAGTTCCATCGGCTCTGGACCTCTGCTGTCATATCGTCTCGGTGGACGATATGATGTCAAGCTGGCGCGAGCCTGTCTAAGACTGAAGTCTTCCTGTTCCGCAATGGAAATGGCTTGTTCTAGTGAATCTAGTTCAAGTCGGAACAGGTGAGTCTTGACGGGACCATCCGCACGACCCTGCATGAACACCGAAACCAACGTGTGTTCATCCACCGGATTGGAACTTATACAACTCGTGAGATGTCGTATATGTTGCGCGTAAGCGTACACATCACGCTTACCCTGCTTGAGCTTCAAGAGTTCGGTTCGAGCTCTGAACTCAGCTCTAGGCGGTTCAAACGTTTGTATGAGCCGCGACTTGAAGACTTCCAACGACCCAAACGCATATAGGTCGTGCAACTTGAGCCCCAAAGCCCAAGTCTTGGTACGTCCTGCCAGATTTGACTGGGCAAATGCAGCTTGCATATCCCCGTCGTCGATGCGACGCACCCTTATGGCGTCATCCAATTCGACGAACCATCTCAAGAGGGAGTCCTCTTCGACCCCCCTATACTTGGAGATGTCAATCTTCAAGGTTTCAGGTCGACGCGAGTGCATCGACCCACCAGC